CTACTTTCTCATTCTCTTTTGTTACATCTCCCATCTGGCAATCATATCTCCAAGGCACTTGTTTATTATCCCGATATGGGAATGGAGATGGAGGTGTAATAACCACTTTCGGGGCTACCTTCTCAGCAACTCGATTCTTGTGAGTAATAATTAGGGGACAACTGGCATTGTATACCCCTTTAGATGATCCTTTTGAAGTGTAAACTTCCGCTTCCTCTTCTTCAGCAATCTCTCTAAAAAAACTCAATTTCTTTACTGTCCATCATGTCTTGTACCAAAGATAGGAAGTCAGGACATTGCTGAATACTGTGTCCTTCACTGTTATGATACATACATACCTCTCCATTGTTAAACTGTTCACCCATCAAACTGGGCTTCAACAATCCTACCTTGACCATTTGGCACCACACCCAACTCATGGGTGATACTACCTCACTAACATTCCTTACAATTCTCTTTCATTTCTCTTCAGTAATCGCGTTAACTCCTGCCCCTGCATGGCTTGGCAACGGATTCTGAGCTATATTCGACTGCTCACTGTCACCAAAGTTGATGACATTCCTCGTTCTCAAAGCTTGGACAACCTTCTTAAAAGCAGTACAATTCTCAATGAAATGCCCAGGATTCCCTGTATGGTACTCACACTGAGCACTAGCATCATACCATTTGGGAAAAAGAGGTTGCATTGGAGTCACATGATACGGCGAAACCACATGCCGATCATACAAAATCTGAAACAATTCCTTATAAGTCATCGGAATTGGATCTAATTGAGGCCTCTCTCTCCTTTGGTCCCTTGCCCCTTGTCTATTGTCATTTTGTGTTGATGGCCCTGCTCCTTGAGGACGGTAAACAATGATGTTATTAGAATCGTACTGCCTCACATTACTGACTTCATTTTCCTTTTTCCTCGTTGGTGGCCTCTTACTAGACTCTCCTCCCTCGAGCTTCCCACTCTTAACAGCCATTTCAATCATTTCTCCCGCCGTAACTACATCAGTAAAACTTCGATAAGGATTACCGATAAGATGCGAGAAAAAAGGAGCCTTTAAGGTGTTGACAAAAAGCATATTTGTTTCCTCCTCTTCCAATGGCGGGTGGACTTGCACCGTTACATCTCTTCATCTTTGAGCATATTGTCTAAAACTCTTGTTAGACTTCTTTTCCATTCCTTGCAACATCATCCTGTTAGGCCTAACATCTTTTACATGTTTGTATTACTCAAGAAATGACTTAGCCAAGTCTTCCCACGATTTGATATTAGCTCTACTCAGCTGATTATACCACCGGATTGCTGAGCCAGTTAAGCTTTCCTGAAAGTAGTGTATCAACAATTGATCGTCCCCTATGTATCCGGTCATCTTCCTACAAAATATCGTGATATGCGCAGAGGGACACCTGGTACCATCAAACTTCTCAAAGTCAGGAACTTTGAACTTTGGAGGTAAAACCAACTCCGGAACTAGACTTAATTCCTTTGCGTCGAATCCATAGACACTGGTATCTTCCTTTATGGCTCTGACCTCTCTTTCTAACTGCTTTCGTTTCTCTTCCAATAGATTGTTTTGGTGCTTCTTAGCTTCTTCATCAAGGTCTGAAACTTGATGATATTGATGTTCTTTCTGATATGAACTAGATCCAAGCTGTACGTTAACAGAAGCACCGACTGGATTAATGTGCACCTTCCCGACATGTGCAGGGGTCCCTTGAATGTTCTGAGATTATTCTGGGGTTAACACTGGATGATGAAGTGGGTCCTCAGTTACACCTTCTGGCATAGGGCTTTTCCCATGTTCTGGATTTCTTCCTTCCAACATACTCGCAAACTTGGCAAACATCTCCTTTTGGGCATTCATCATATCTTCTTATATTTTCTTGATATTATCTTGTAACTCCACTTGAGCCTTCTCAATTTGGGCAAGTTTGTCCTCCATAACTTTCTTCCTGGTTCTGTAGGTATGCTTGGGATTTTCCAGTATTACTCTGTCACAGAGTCATTTTGTTATCGCTGATATTTATTAATGAATATGAAATATATGATTATGAATGAATAAAATGCGATGCAAAAATTAATTGTATTAAAAATGCATATGCAAAATGCAGGGTGTTGATCCTGGAACGACTCCTTAGAACAACTCTTTATATTAGAACGACGTTCAATTACAAAGTTGAAACACATCACGAATAAATCTGCACCATCTCTCCTATTTGTTATACATGTGCTAGCAACTTCACGATCTTCTGGTTTTCTTCAGCCTCGGGATCCAGTTCTTCAATCACATCAGCAGCTTCCTCGGATAAAATGACCAAATATTGAGCTAATCTCTGCGTGTGTCCTAGGTAACAAGCAATAAGATCCTCTCTTTGCTTAACTCTTGCCTGAGCTCGCTCCCTTCGAAAACGCCATTGTATATCCCCCTCATAAGGAACTATCGATAGCTCACTTGCTTGCCTCTGAAAATTTTGAACCATGGCTTCAAGCTCACTCACTTGTTTTTTCAGACTTTTAACCTCCCCCTGGCTCGAGCTACCTTCCCTGTTTCGGTATCGTCGTAATACAGTATCTAAACTTGAAATTTTCTCCTTCAACTTCTCATTCTGAGCTTGACTCTTTTGTAATCGCTGCTCTAAAGAATCCTTTTCTTTCGATAAAATCTTCACTTGGTGCTTGCTTTGCTTGAGCTTTTCTTGACTCTCTCCGGCTACTCTTTTGAGGCTCGCCACCTCTTGCCTCGATTCGACAGACTTACTCGAGCTAGAACCTGTCTGACCTTTTACCATTCGCTGATAAAAAACCGACCCCACTCCATTTACAGTTTCCTTCCCTCTTCAAAATCATGGACCCGATCTTATTGGTAATTTTTGATAACTTACCAGTTATCATACACGGCTAAAATAAATTCCCATTGTTTTAGGGAATCCTCACGTGAACTGGTAAATACTCTGCTAGATCATTGGGTTTAAATTGGGCCTTCAATTGGCTTGGGGTCGGGTTAGGTTGCCATGGCTTCGGGTCTGCTCCGACATAACCCCGGACAAATCGAGTATCTACAAGACGGATTTCGTCGGAGATGGGGACGGATGTCGCCGTAGAGAGTGAGAGATGGAGATGAGACTGAGTTGTGATTTAGGGTTTTAGGTTAGAGATGATTTACGATAACACTGTTTACATTTGTGTTGCGAAATTAATATTATGTTTCGCGTAAAAACATTTGACTTTCGCGTTGCGAATTTGACTTCTGTGTTGCGATTTACAAATTCGCGTTGCGAATTTGACTATCGCTTTACGAATTTGACTTTGTGTTGCGAATTTGACTATCGCGTTGCGAATTTGACTTCTGTGTTGCGATTTACAAATTCACGTTGCGATTTAAATATTCGCGTTGCGAAATTGGAAACTGGGTTGCGAAATTAAAGTTCGCGTTGCGAATTTGTTGGTCATTTTGGCAAATCCAAAAAAAGTTGGTTAAATTCGTATATTATAAGACATTTTCGGTCACTGAGGTTATTTTCTCTTCATTTAATCACACGAATTTATTGATAAAATATTTTAAAAAATAAATCCAATGCTGATTTTTTTTTAAAACATATAATGGTTTTATATGGATGATTAATTATTTTTAAATGATACTTTAATTTGTATGTTTAACTCCTATCACTTGTTAGTTTTAATTAAATTTATATAATTTGCATCATTTTATTAATTTAATCAAATATTTTATTAATAAATATTATTTATTAGTCTACCAATTAATATGTCACAAATAATCTCCTCGACACAAAAAAACTCTCAAGAGTTGACCATTCATTTTAAGGGATACATAGGTCTCAATCCTCGAGAGTAAATGAGAAAATTCTTAGATCCCTTTACAGTAGTAGGTATGTATATATATATATATATATATATTAATTTTACTTAACATATTACAATAAATTTAATCATTTTTTAAAATAATAAAAATACACTTGACTTTCTAAAAGATTTAATGCATTTGTCCCGTCCATCATAAAAGTAATCAATAACAATCTTCTCCATGATTGTGTGTGTTCTACCGTAGCATCATTCTTAGGCTTGTAAATGAACTAAGCGAACACGAATCGTTTAATTTTAATTGAATAAATGAACACACACGAATATAAACGAACACAAAAACTTTTGTTAATATTCGTTCATTAAGGAATATAACTTGTTTGTATTTATTTATTTAAATAATAAACGAACATAATAAACAAACGTAAATGAATACAAACAAACAAAATAAATGAACATAATTAAACACAATATATGATTGTAAACAATACCACCAATAACCACATAAAATTCATTATTCATTAACCTATAACTTCAGAGTTAAACGAACGAACGGACAAAAATAAACATACACAAACATAAATGAGCAAATACAAACGAATGTAAACAAATATATGCATACATACATAAATGAACAAATTATCAAACATTCACGAACGAGATATTTGTTCGTGTTCTTTTATTTAATTAAGCGAACATAAAATCTTTTTCATATTCGTTTGTTTAATAAATAAAGCAACTTCCCGCCAAACTATTCTTGAACGATCCGCTGAACCTTCTTTAGGCCTAACCATTCCCATCTTCTAAACCTTGAGATCTATTAATCCAAGGGCAGTGAGATTTTTCTTTAATCCGCCGAACAACGTTGTTGGTTTTTGTTTAATGGTATGGATTTGACATTTTTTGTTCCAAGAAAAAGAATTACAAATTGTAATCATCGTCATCAGAAAGGAAAATGTTCTTCTCATCCATAGCCTTTAAAAAAACCTATGTAGGAAGGTGTTGTAAGATATTTTTCCAATCTCGTCGCTTGATCAACAAGTAAAACCATAATTTCTTCATCCACTATTTGAAATCTTGAAAAATCATACGACTAATCAGATTTATGAAGATCAAACCTAAAGAGATTGCTCAGTGGTGGCGATAAAGTTACAGGTTCGATTATGCCAGCTGACCTTCTACAAAAGAAGATGGCTCAGTTCAGCGGGGTGGTCGACACGCAAAGTTCTCAAGAGATGAGAAGCCTGCATTCCGGTCTGTTGAGCTTGAATTTCATGGAGTCATCACCGCCATCTTCTTTCAGAAAGAAACCTCAGACAGATAAATAAAAAATAAACAATCCACGAATACAACCAAGGCGGAGCTTAAGAAGAGGCGAGGGCCATACTGTGTTGGCCTATATATTTATTTATAGCTGTAAAAATTGGGGTTTCTGTAGAGGGATTGAAGCCCGTGTAAAACTATCTGAGTCCTAGCTCCGGCCCTAATTCTCTTTATGTTCTTTGGGCTTAACAAATAAAATACATCCGAAACTAGGCCTGTAAACGAACCGAACGCACACGAACGGATGTATGTTCATGTTCATTCATTTAATAAATAGACGAACATAAACGAACACGAACATAAACGAACAAATTTTTTTTGTTCATGTTCGTTTATTAAGGAATATAATTTGTTCATGTTCGTTCATTTAATAAACAAACGAACATAAACGAACACGAACATAAACGAACACAAACATAAATGAACACGAACATAAACGAACATAAACGTTGGAGACCCTACCTTCCATTGTTCTTTCATGAAAAATAGTCGACAATGCAAATCAACCAAATCTACAGTGATAAATAGCATAAGAGTTGATTAGCAGTGATGAAATGTTTGAAGATATCAAATATTTCGATCGATCTTTTAAAGATATTAAATGATTCACACAACTTTAATTTAACGCTATAACATTTATCTTAGTGGTCCGTGATTACATATGAACAATCATTTTCCGCTATTACACTCTTTTCAGAAATTGCATAGAAACCTTTGTTTTGTTTTCTGGTAAATTCTATATATTTTTCTCTTTACTGATGCTCGTATACTTCCGATTGTTACCTTTATATTCCCATCTATTTCTAGAAATAAGTATGATGTTTTCTTGAGTTTTAGATGTGAAGATACCTGCAATAACTTTACATATCAACTATTAAGTCAAATAAAACAGAGAAAGAGATGAAAACAAACATGTAAAACTTCATATTGCACTATAATATAACTTGTTTTGAAGCTTTCAGCGATCGTCTCCACTCTCTAGTGAACACTAGGGTTTGGGAAAAAAAGGGGGAAATGAATATAGGTGCGAGGTGCCTCACAGGTTAACATATTGGATTTAATCTCCAAATAAAATTGGATTAATTATGGAGTTGGTAATCAGAATATCATATTAATTGATATTTTTAAGATACTTACAAATTGGTCACCAAAATTAATTTAAGAAGATTGGGTTAAACATAAATGAATGAACATAAACGAACATAATCGAACGAACATAAACGAACATAACCGAACGAACATAATCGAACGTTCACGAACGTAAATGAACGAACGAGACCTATGTTCATGTTCGTTCATTTAATTAAACGAACAAAAAATCTTGTTCATGTTCGTTCATTTAATAAATAAACGCACATAAACGAACTTCCCGCCGCACGGTTCATGAACGGTTCGCTGAACGTTCAGTTCATTTACAGGCCTATCCGAAACTCGTCGCCCCTCTAAAGAGATTTTGGATTTTTAATGTGATAAATTTACGATAATTATCAATCGAGTATTAAGATGGTCTCATATGTGGTTTTGTTTCGTAAGAGATGTTAGAGTCTTTTAAATTGGTTTGAGTTTCATGATCGTTAAGTGATTGATCCCGATTTAGTTAAGAATGTCGAAGATAAATTAAAGATTATTCAAGACAACCTTAAGATAGCTTTAGACAGATAGAAATTTACTCTGATTTGAAGAAAAAAAATATTTTGAGTATGAGGTGAAAAAGAAAGTATTTTTCAAGGTCTCTTGGTAGAATAAAACGCTTCAATTTGGAAGGAAAAGTGCAAAGTGCAACTCTCGCTTGAAAAGAATTGGTCCAGTGAATTATTAATCGGCTCTGCCTCTAGATTTAGTTAGAATTTACAATGTTTTCCATGTATCAATGCTCATAAGATACAAATTGGATCCTTCGCATGATCTCACTCTAGAAGACATTAAGATTCAACCATATTTGGCTTACGAAGAGTAACTCGTGAGAATTTTTTAGTATGGTATCAAGAAATTGAGGCATAAATTATTCCATTAATAAAAGTTTTATAGAGAAATCACAAAACCGTAGATTTTTTTGATCAAATAAGAAAATTCAAGGATGAATTTTTCTTCGTAGAGAAAGAGTTTTAACATCTTGAAAAATCTTTTAAGGACTAAACCGATAATTTTTAAAAAATTGTTGAGTACTAAATTAAAATTTTCATTTTCTTCCCCAAGATTCCAATCGACGGTAAGCTCTCCAAAGACAAGGGTTCTTACATTTTTTTTTCATTTCCCTCTTAATCTAGTGGATTTTGGGTAAGCTCTTGCAATATAAAAGTATTGTCTCATTAAAATTTATAATTTAAAGCTATAGTTTTTTTTATTTTCGATCATTATTTTTATAGTCGCTCACCCATCAATTGATCGTAATCTTTTTTATCATCTCAAATTCTTAAATTTTTAATTCTATATTTAGTAGGTGAAGATTCTAAATCTTTAAGGAATAAAGAATTTAACGAGGATTAAGGAGGGAGGGGACAAAGGAGTGCATGGACGAAGAGTGAGAGGAGAATTGATTTCTCTACGGGAGGAAAGGGGAGAATGGACCAACAATTCATTGGTCTACTGGATCCTTTAAGTAAAGTTAGACGTTCAAACATTGATGTCTGTGAATGGAGTAAATAGGTTGGGAGGGTCGTCCTCGTCTCTGCAGTACTCAATCTGGATTATTACGATCAAAATACTTAAATTAATAACTATTTTCAGTTTTTTTAATTTTTTTTTGAAAAAATCGAACTCGACCCGATCCGAAAAAAATTGTAATTTTACCTTATATTTAGGGATAATTATAATAATACCCCTCCAATATATATTTTTCACTTAAATCTCTATTTTTATTGAATAAAATTAATATTATTTTAATAAAAATATTATTTCGGGTCGGGTCGGGATCATATTTTATCTCAAAACGACGAGTCATGTTCGGGTCGGGTGGAGGATGCATAATTTTCAGGTCAGGTCGAGTGGACCGAAAATCCGATCAAACTCAATCTATGTCAATCCCTATTTATAACGTTTGACACATATATTAACTGAAAAAAAATTATACACCTAAATTAAAAAAAATACAATTCAAACATTTTTTTATAATAATCCTTACAAAATGTAAACAACATTATCACTTTAAATTTATTTAGAATACAAAACAAGACTTCGTTGGTCAAATAATTCAAGTAATTTTTATTTTTAAATATAGGTGTTTGAGATTTTTTTAAAGATTTAGATTATTTGATACAATAAGCATTAAATTTTTATTCTTCGTTTGAGAGTAACGAATTTCATAAAATATAATAAAATAAATAGATCTCGTCATGAGAATATGATGAGTTCTATATAATCTTCTTTCGATTCACATGACAAGTCCTGTTTTTAATATATTTTATGAAATTCGTCACTTACATGTAAATTTTTTTATATTTTTTTCTAATCTCTTTTAAGTCTCGATTTTTGGGGTTCTTTTAGTCAATACCCCGAGCGAATAAATTAATTGGCCCAATAAGCCATGTGAGAACTTATTTTGTAATCCACGATAATTACTATAGTAATGTGCAAAAAAGTGACAAGTTTGTCTAGAATTATGGTCACATGTAAGTGAGTCCCATGTGGGCTAATATTTTAACATATTCAGCGAGACTCGTAAATCGACGTGATAAGTCTACTAAAAAAATATTTTTTTAAAAAAATTATTTAATATTTTAGAAAAAATTATAGAACTCATCAAGTTGACGTGACGAGTTTTCTTTGAATTTTAAAAAAACTAACTGTTGTGCAATGGATAACTTTTGAAATTAAAAAAATTAATCGTTGAAACTCGTCACATCAACGTGACTAGTTTTTTAATATAATTCAAAAAAATAATATTTAAAAAATTAAATAAATACAAAATAATTTTATTACAAAATAATAATAAAAGTAACGCAATGGATAATACAATTTATTTATATTTTCTTAGTTCTTGACGATATCGAAGAGTGGTCTAGTGATAATGGTTCGAGGCTTGTCGAGTACGTCAAGGTCGTCCGTCTTGATTGTCTTCGTTTTCTTCTTGAAGAGAAGGTGTATTGAACATCGCTCTATGTTGATAAATCGGGCAACGTAAACGAAAGAACACAAGAATTTTAACGAGGTTTGGCAATGTGCTTACGTCCTCGGTGCCTAGGCGGCGCTAGAAAATTTTTATTCAATGATAATAAGTTTAGGTTACATCTCTATTTATAATAGAAAACCCTGGTACATAATTACAAAATTAACCTTGTACCGTACCGCGGGGGCGCAACCCTCGTACCCCCAACCCACATAATCGTAACCCCCTCTACAAGACTTTCTTTGTAAGGACAGTTGATGTTCGCTGCGTTCGCTTCGCTCACTCCACTCCATCCCCTGTCCTCTTTACCGGTATATTTATGAGTCATACCTTACAAATCTCCACCTTGGCGAATATCCCGCCCCTTAGGAAACATTCAATGTGGGTTGTGTTACCTTACTTCTTTAACAAGTTGAAACATTCAACAAGTCCAAGCAATGCTTGAACTTGTCTGTTGTAACTGGCTTGGTGAACATATCAGCGACATTCTCATCAGTGTGTACCTTCTGAAACAAAATCTCTCCAGATGCAACCAACTCTCTGATCTTGTGAAAACGTACATCAATGTGCTTAGTTCTAACACGATATACTTGATTCTTACCTAAGTGAATAGCACTTTGATTGTCGCAGAGCAACTGAACTCTACCTTGCTGAACACCCAACTCCTTCACTAAACCAGTGAGCCATAAAGCTTCTTTTGTAGCTTCAGCCGCTGCCATGTACTCAGCTTCAGTTGTAGATAGTGCCACAACAGATTGAACAGTAAACTTCCAACAAATAGGTCCTCCACCAAGAGTAAAAACATACCCTGTCGTAGATCTTCTATTATCCAAGTCACCTGCATAGTCTGAATCCACATATCCTACAACCAAATGATTATCTCGTTAACTACCAAAAACAATTTCATGTCCCACAGTACCCTTTAAGTACCGAAAGATCCACTTGACTGCTTCCCAATGTTGCTTACCAGGTTTAGACATGTACTTACAAACTTGACTAACAACATGAGCTAAATCAGGACGAGTACATACCATTGCATACATCAAGCAGCCAACATCATTAGAATACGGAACCTTTACCATATCTTCAGCTTCCTTATCTGTCTTAGGGCACTGTTCTGATGAGAGCTTAAAGTGGTTCGCCAATGGAGTGCTAACTGGTTTTGCGCTGCTCATAACAAACCTTTCTAGTATTTTTTTTAACATAACCCCGTTGAGATAGCCACAGTTTCCTTGAGTCTCTGTCCCTGCAAATTTCCATTCCAAGAATTTTCTTTGCAGCACCTAAATCTTTCATATCAAATTCCTGACTCAATAAAGTTTTCAAACCGATAACATCATCCATGTTCTTCGCAGCAATCAACATATCATCAACATACAGTAATACAAAAATAAAAGAACCATCATCAAGGCTCTTAACATAGAGACAACAATCATACTCACATCGGTTGTAGCCAATCTTGATCATATAGGAGTCAAACCGTTTATACCACTGTCTCGGAGACTGTTTCAACCCGTACAAAGATTTCTTCAATCTGTAAACTAAATGCTCGTTTCCAGGTTGAGTGAAACCTTCAGGTTGTCGCATGTAGATCTGCTCCTCTAAATCACCATGCAAAAAAGCAGTTTTAACATCCATCTGCTCTAAATGCAAATCTCAACTGACCACCAATGCAAGTACTGCTCGGATTGAAGTGTGTCTGACCACAGGAGAAAAGATTTCATCATAATCAACTCCTTTCTGCTGTGAAAAACCCTTCGCTACCAAACGAGCCTTGAACTTATCCCCCTCTTTTTCTGTTACTGCTGGTTTCTTCTTATACACCCATTTGCAACCAATCGACTTTTTACCCTCAGGAAGGGGAACCAACTCCCATGTACGATTGTGATTCAAAGACTCCATCTCCTCAACCATGGCTGCCATCCACTTGTCGTTTTCCTGACTAGTAACAGTATCGTGAAAAGTAACCGGATCATCACTACTAACAATAAGTGCAAAAGAGACCAAGTCTTCAAAACCCAATCTACTCGGAGGCTTTATATTCGTCCGTCTCACCCTGTCTCTGGCGAGACTATAATCCTGCAAATCATCCGTAGTGGAACCACCAGAAGTCGGTTGAGGCGTTTCTGGTTTCTCAACTGGAAAATGCTCGAAATCCACCACTGTCGTGTCTTTCTTCTGTTGCAACATGGATTGTTCATCAAAAACAACATCTCTACTGATCACAATTTTCTTCGCAACTGGATCCCAGAACTTGAATCCTTTGACACCTTTCTTGTAACCCAGAAAAATGCACTCCTTCGATTTTGCATCAAGTTTGGATCTCTCATCAGCAGGTACATACACATAAGCAGGACAACCAAAAATCCGTAAGTTATCAAAACTAACATCATGACCAGTCCATACCTCTTCTGCAACTTTCCTAGCCAATGATGCCCTTGGCGATCTGTTGATAAGATAACACGCCATGTTAACAGCCTCGGCCCAGAAGTGTTTGGGAAGCCCCGCATTCAACCGCAAACATCTGGCTCTTTCATTCAACGACCTGTTCATCCATTCCGCAGCATCATTCTGTTGTGGTGTCTTGCGCACTGTAAAATGTCTCTTAATCCCGTGCTCCTTACAGAAGTGTAAGAACTGTGAATCTGTGTACTCCATACCATTGTCAAACCGCAAAAACTTGATTTTTTGTCATGTTTGGTTTTCTACCTCTCTTTTCCACAGCTTAAACTTCTCAAAAACTTCATATTTCTGTTTCAAAAAATACACCCAAGCTTTCCATGAAAAATCATCAATAAAAGTAACATAATACCTAGATCCACCCAAAGACGATGTCGTGGAAGGCCCCCATACATCAGAATGCACATAATCAAGAATCCCTTGAGTTGTGTGCTTCGCAGTCTTGAAACGGACTTTAGTCTATTTACCAAGAACACAATACTTGCAAAAATTGAGCTTACAACTTTTGACACCATGCAACAGATTTCTTTTGTGTAATTCTGTCATACCACGTTCACTAAGATGAGCAAGACGCATATGCCACAGTTTTGTAATATCATCACAGGATTCAACAGTATGAACTCCACCTGCAACGGTACTCCCTAACAATCTATAAATATTTCCTGCAGTCATCTTTCCTTTCATCACAGTCAAATCACCTTTAACAATCCGAATGGTTTCCCTATCCTCATCAGCCTTAGGGATAAAACCATTCTTGTGCAAAGTGCCCAAAGAAATCAAATTCTTTTTCAAATCTGGGATATGTCGAACACCACTCAACGTCTGAACAGAGCCATCATACATCTTAATTCTGACATCACCAATACCAATAATATTGCAACATCGATCATCACCCAAATAAACAGAACCAGAATTAACCGACATGTATGTCGAAAACCATTCCCTATTTGACGTGATGTGATAAGAACATCCAGAATCAAGAATCCACGCATACGTCAATTGAGTCGTTCAAATAGAAAGCATATCACCCTTACTACAATCAGAATTGTCATCCTCGACCACGTTCACAGACTTGGATGAAACATCACGCTTCTCATCAGTCTGCTTTTTCAACTTCGGACAGTCTCGCTTCATATGTCCTGCCTCCTTGCACTTGTAACAGTGAATTGTCTTCTTATCCCTAGATTTGGATCTGGAATTCCGCTTGCCAGACCCTGCCTTCTCTGGCTTCCGTCCACGATCTCGATTACCCTTGACATATAAGCTATCGGCTTGAGAGTTTTCCCCTGCATTCTGCTTCCGCTGGTTGTGAGCCAACAAGGATGCAGTAATCTCCTCAACGTTGATAGTCTCTTTCCCATATGTAAGAGTAGTCACCATGTGTTCGTAAGAGGGAGACAAAGAACACAACAAAATCATCGCTCTGTCTTCATCCTCAATTTTTACATCAAGCCGAGCCAAATCAGAAACGATTTGATTGAAGACATTCACGTGTTGCGCCAAATCATGATCGTCCTGTATCTTCAGCCCATACAGCCGCTGCTTTAGATACAGTTTTGTCGTTAAGGATTTGGACATAAACTGACTTTCCAACTTCCTCCAAATTTCGTCTGGAGACGATAGATGCATGATGTGATACATAACCTCGTCCGCCAAGCATAATCGTATGGTTCCTGCCGCTCGTTGTTGCAATTCTTCCCAATCTTCCTCCTCCATCGACGCCGGCTTTGAAGGTCGCAAAGCCTTCAGGATCCCCTGCTGTGCCAACAGATCCTTCACCCTTGTTTGCCATAATCCGAAGTTACCCAGACCATCGAATTTCACAACTTCGAATTTTGCTCCTGACATCTGATACCAATTGTTGATAAATCGGGCAAAGTAAACGAAAGAACACAAGAATTTTAACGAGGTTCGACAATGTGCTTACGTCCTCGGTGCCTAGGCGACGCTAAAATTTTTTTATTCAATGATAATTGGTTTAGGTTACATCTCTATTTATAATAGAAAACCATGGTATATTTATGAGCCATACCTTACAAATCTCCATTGAGATCCACCTTCAAAATACAGTAATGAGTTTATGGTATTTAACGTTATCATTGTCGTCGTTGACTCGAATTGGTTACCTTAAAACCATGTAGAAATGGGCTAGATATAGTTCGGATTGTTACATATATATGATAATATATTGATTTGGATCTCTCAGTGTCATTTCTCACTAATAAATGCCATGTTCTCCTTCCAGATTGAGCTCGAGGGAAGAAATATGGACATGATCGAAGCGTAACATCTCATCTATCTCAAGTAGACATCTTTTAAATTTTTTCATAATATACGAATTTCTCTCAATTTTCTTAACAAAGCAAATAAAAAATTTAAACCCAAACCCCTATTTATAACCCTCAAGTCCAACTACCATAATCGACTAGTTTTTTTAAAAGTTCCCCAAACTCTTCACCTCGAGGTGACGAATTTCATGCTGACTGTTAAAATTTGATCGTTACAACTGTCCATTGCACAACGACTATAAACGGTTATTTTTTTAAAAATTCAACGCAAACTCGTCATGAGTTTTGCAATTTTTTTAATTATTTTATGAAATATTTAATTTTTTTAATAGACATATCATGTCGATATGACGAATCTCACTGAATATATTAAAATATTGATTCAAGTAAAGCACATTTATTTGGAAACGTTAAAAGTTATTTCTAAATAAATTTATCAAGTCAGAGTGATGAGTTTACACATTACTATGTCATTTATTTATAGTAGATTATAAAATAAATTCTAACATGATTTATTGGGCTAATTAACTTACCTGCTTGGTTATAGGGGAAAAACCGTGACAATCTATCGTGCGATAATCTTAATATACGGTTAAGAAAATATATTATTGATGTTGTTATTATTATTTTAATATTTTCTGTAAAAAAATAACTAAAACATTATTATTTATACCGATTTTTTTTTGTGTAATCGATGAGTTTAATGATCGGCTGCCGGTTAAATTATATACCCACCATTCATGTTTGCAACAAAATAATGCTTCCACGTTTGTCTTCACTTTCTCCTCTCCCAACTCTCCACGGACCCTTTCTCTTGTTTGATTACTTAATTCATCCTTTCTTCATCGCACAGCTACAGAAGAACAAGAAGATTTGATTGATTGCAAAGAAAACAAGGTTGGAGATTTTTCTCTCTCTCGAGGATGGTTTCTTTGAGTCGAGTCTTGGCTGTTTCGTACACGGTAAAGCCATCGATTCCCTCTAAAACTTGTTCTTTAAGCTCTAGACTTGTCCAGAAACCCAAATTGAATTCTAAATGGCGATCCATGGCGACTGAACCCGACTCTTCTTCCTTCGCGCCTTCTGTTGATTCTGATTCTTCCGCTGATAAAATTACCGCCGGGTACTTCATTTTATTTCGTCTTTAATTAAGGTTTTTCACTTTGTTTTAGTCATTCTGATTTTTTAATTGAAAAAGTGCAGATTTTGCATCATAGAAGGGCCTGAAACAGTCCAGGATTTTGCTAATATGGAACTGCAAGAAATTCAGGATAATATCCGAAGCCGGCGGAACAAAATCTTTCTCCAGATGGAAGAGGTCACTCCTCTGATTTCTTTTTCTTGTTTTTGATTGTTTTCATTGATGGAAGTTTTTGGCTTACTGCATCTGCACTTCAAATTGAGAGTTGAGTTTTCAATAACATTTGGGAATTGTCTACACATGCTCATTAAGTACAAAGCTTTTGATTTCCAGTGAGTTGCCGTCGCTGATGGGGGAAGTTTTGAAATTAGAAAGCTTCGAGTTCAATTGAGTTTCCTTATCAACAGTTGAAGTTTCTGCAGCTGCACAACAAGTTGAAAGTTCTGCTTCCATTTAGTTTTAAATAGCACTGGCCCGTGGCAGATATTGACAATACAGTTCGGGGGTCTATTTAAATTTTTCTAAAATCTTGGAAGTTTATATTAAAATTTTCAACAAAAAAGGTCTATCTAAAATTCCAGAAAATTTTGAAGGGGCCAAATTAAAATTTTTAATTTTTTGAAGGATTGAATGTTAGTTTTCCGCATTTTTTTGGGGGCAGAGTCCCTCAGGCTCCATTACGGTCTGCCCCTGCCATTAAGCGATGTAGCTGTATATGCTCATCAATTAAAAAGCTTTTGATTTCCAGCGAGTTTTTGGTACCAATGAAGGAAGTTTCTGCATCAGCTCATAAGCTTTCATTTTGATCGAATCTCGATATCAATGGTGGAAGTGTCCGACTTTCCACATGCTCATTGAGTAGACAGTGTTACTCAAAAGTACCGTATCATATGCTAACTTAAATTTACCCAATTGTAGGTTCGGAGACTAAGGATTCAACAGAGGATTAAAAGTGCTGAACTTGGCATTTTAAAGGAAGAACAAGAAAATGAGCTTCCTAATTTTCCATCATTCATCCCATTCCTTCCTCCACTGGTAAGATGCTTTTTGCTTATGTTTATTTTTCTTCCCTTCGCTTGTTCATAGTTCAACCTTTTTGTTCATTAATTAAAGTTTAACCGATGTATTTTGTTCTGTACAGACCTCAGCAAATCTCAAGGTTTATTATGCAACTTGTTATTCTCTTATCGCTGGGATTATCCTTTTTGGTGGACTTATAGCACCCACTGTGAGTCACTTATGCCCTCAATTCTCATAATCCAGTCTTTCCTTTGGTGTCAATTGCGGAGTGAGTTGTGGTACTTCTAAGTTATGTTGCCCTTGCCCGTACTCTTCATTCTCATAAAATATCCCTGTTAGACACATGTTCAGATATTGGAGTACTATCCTCCCAAATATATGAAAAAAAGGAAAAAAATATTTGAAGGAAATAATCAATTAAATATAGAAAAACAGGCAAGGGGGTGACAGTGTTCACCTTATTATGCTGAAGCAACAAGTTCGATGCCACTAAACACGTTAGGTGATGTTAATACGAAATTTCACACATGATTCCGGAGGTTGAAACTTATCCTTATTTCTATCTGTTCCTATATCATAGCTGGAGCTTAAGCTAGGACTAGGGGGCACTTCATATGCAGATTTCATCAGTAGTATGCACCTGCCAATGCAGTTGAGGTATGGCAATCCTCTTGTTTGTAAATTATGTTTATTATTTCTAAGAGATTGAATTTCCTGATGCTTCTCCTTTTACCATGAGGTCGACGTACTTTTGGTTTTCTCGTGCTTCTATCGGGGATACCATAGATAATGGCATATTCTTTTAAGACAGTTTTCTTCTACAAAGAAGAGGCAGCTGTCATCTGTCTCAAGTTTGGTATAGTGTAGGTAAGTTTGTTTCATGTCGTATTAAACACGATTCCATTGGTGGTAACTGCAGTGAGGTTGATCCTATAGTGGCATCTTTCTCTGGAGGAGCAGTCGGTGTTATCTCAGCCTTGATGGTAGTTGAAATAAACAATGTTAAGCAGCAGGAGCATAAACGATGCAAGTATTGTCTTGGAACAGGTATACACTGATACTTTTTTTTAATTCCCCTGCTGTATTGCAGATGCTGTAATTTTATCCACGATGGTAAATGCAGGATATCTTGCTTGTGCTCGCTGCTCCAATACCGGATCACTTGTTCTTATTGAACCAGTCTCAACGGTCCATGGTGGAGACCTGCCTTTATCAACCCCCAAAACAGAAAGATGTTCAAACTGTTCCGGATCTGGAAAGGTATGGCTTCTAAAAATGTGTGGTCTTAATAGTTTATTGTCGACTCGTGCACATCAACTGGGAAATTAATAGTTTATTCTCGGCTCGTGCACATCAACTGGGAAATTTTGATGAATGGAAGAATATTTTGCTTATCCGAATTCGGGAATCTTGGGGTTAGGTTTTTATCAGTTCATATATTCCGAAGGTCGTCTCATAATTTTATATACATTGGCAGGTGATGTGCCCTACATGTCTTTGCACTGGAATGGCAATGGCTAGCGAACATGACCCACGAATTGACCCATTTGATTAAACTGCAGAGCTCTTGTTTGTATCAACCACATGGCCTTCATATACAAATGTCCAACCCAATGTCAAGGAGAAATGAAAAACTTCAACCTCTTGTAGATGAATTTTGAACAACTTTATGAATTTATCACGAGTAGAATGCATTAAATTTTATAGTCATTAAACCTTGATTTTGTGTTTGGAAAGTGCATACATATAGTTGAGGGTTACAAGTTATCTAAATTGTTCATACAACGCATCGTCTCATGCTCCTCCAATAACTTGACTACATGCTCCCTACCTTATCACGATGCCAATCACACGTATGAGATGGCTTTATCACAAGCATCTAACATCATACATGTAATGCATCATAACACATTTTTTAATCATTTTTAGTTCTTATGAATTTATATACTATCCATAAGGATATTCTGACATCTTAAAGGTGGGAATCAAAGATAAAAAATTTGGTTTTCAAAGAAGAGCATATTTGAGAATTTGGGCAGGAAACTAGGGATGAGATCGAAACGAATGTTCTCATTTAAATCAAATACAACAGGAGTGGGGAATCAATAGGAACATTTTTTAAAGATGAGAGAGAGAGAGCAAAACGTAGAGAGGGAGAGTCTCAAAGGAAAGTCAGTCTCCGATGAGAACTGGACGTTGTTCATCGACAATCTTAGTAGGAGGGTGTCCCGACGTTCATTAAGGGATATTTTCATAGTACATGGTTCTATTGAGAGAGTTTTCATTCCCAAAGTCACTAGGAACCCAAAATACAAATTTTCAACGTTTGCTTTTGTTCAGTTTAAGAGTGAGGACGGTTTGAAGAGGGCAGTCGAGGTCTTAAATGGTGTTCTGATAGATGGGAGAAAGATTTCAGTTGGTCATGCAAGGTATATAAGGGAGCTTCTTCCTGGTCTGAGGGAAGGAATGTTGCTACAAAGAAGGTCCTCAGTCAGAACATTGTTGGAACATCCAATTCCAATCAGGCGAAAGTTTTAAACAATTATTTTAGGGATACTAGGTCTTATAAAGAGGCTTTGTTGTCAAACAGAAGTGCAATGGGAAATAAAGCGATTTCATCCGATGATATTCATAGGGGGAAAGTGAAGAAAAATACTTTGGAAATGCATATTCCTTCTGAAAGTTCCAATTGGGTTAAAAGGTCATTAACGGGGATTATTAAACACTTATTACAGATTGAGTCAGTCAATAAGGCGCTATTTAAAGAGGGTTTTGAAGTCCAAATTATCATATGGGGACATGTGTTGAATTCTTGTGTGATTGTCTTTAATTCATCGGAAGAGATGAAGGATACTTGGTTGAAGAGGAAAGAAGAACTAGAGTTCTGATTTGATCAATTAGCCCCTTTGTTGAATGATGATGGTGTCCCAATGGCCTTTTGTTTGGTGGAACTAGTGGGGGTCCCTCTGTTATGCTGGAATGATCAGTTCTTTGAACAAATAGCAGGGAGATGGGGGATAGTTGTTGACATTCATGAAGCCACTAGGAAAAAAAAAGACCTCACAACAACAAAAATTTTATTAAGGATGGAAAGTTGTTTTGATGTTCCGGAGGTGATCTCTCTGGGTTCCTATAGAAGATCATTTAAAGTGTGCATCAAGGTGGGATCGGCGTGCCAGTCTTCAAGTTCTTTTTTTGGCAACTCTCCGGTGGAAGTTCATGGTGAGGGACGTTGTGGAGAGAAGGTCTCTGTAGAGGAAGAATTCAAATTGTTGTTAGAAAGTGGGAATGATATAGATGTTTCAGCAGAAGATTTTCGACAAAAAGTTGACAGCTGGTTTGACAATAAAGGCTTTTCTGATTCTGGGGTAGTTGATAGGGAAAAACAGCTCGGTAGATTTTCTATAGATAGGAATGGCATTAATGGTGGACTGTCAGAAAGTCAGAGTATTGGGAATATAAAAGTTGGTGATTATGCAGGCTTAGGAATTAGAAAGTCAAAATTTTCTGATTTTGGATCACATGCCCAATCAGATAATGAGGGATTTTCTGGGCTTGTTGGCTCAAAAATTATTCCAGCTGGTCCAGCAATTAATATTGACAAGTTTGGCAAAATGATCCTCAAGCACAAAAATGTTAACTTTGGAAATGCTAATGAAGAAAAGGGAAATGAGTCGGATTCAGAGAAGTGTCTTCAGGCTGAAGTTAGACAAGTTGGGCAGCAGTTAATGTTGTTAGAGCCAAGTATAAATATGGCAGAAAGCTTCTCAAGGGGGAGATCGCGGTATAGAAATAAAAGATTGATGTCTTCAAAAAGTGTCCCGTTAGAGAGAAGGAAAACAAGCAGCTATAAGAGGTTTTATTCAAGGTCGACGAGCAGGAAATTCTGGCATGGGAATGTTCTGAATGTTACTCCTGAAAGAGAGGAGGTTTGGACCAATAAGGAGGAGAATTTTCAGCTCTCAAAAGTTGTTCAACAGATAGTGGAAGTGGAGGTTACAAGAGAGTTGTCAGAAGGTGATAGATCTAGATTCATTTCTGGCTCGGACTTTAGAAGAGCTAAAAGATGCTTGTTAAGGGAAGCTTATGAACAGGTGTCAATCTCAACGGTTTCTACTTCAGATTTTTCGATTTTAGTTGAGGAAGCCTTAGCAACTTGGGAAATCAACAAGTTATTGGGGGTGACTTTTAAGCAAGGGAATGAGGCTTTTCTGGATAAGATTATCAGCTTAGAGAAAGCTTTGAATAAGGCTACTCAAGGTGAGCTTGATGGGGATGTAGATTGTGGACTAATTAATGATGAAGATTAATTTTATCATTGCTTCATGGAATGTGAGAGGATTGAGGAGGAAAGAAAAACAGAGGGCTATTCAGAGGTTAATTGATAAAAATCACCCACAGTTTCTTTGGCTGCAAGAAACGAAAATGGAGAAGATTTCTATATCAATGCTTAGAAGAAAGGGGTTTAATTATTTTAAAGGAGTCCTTGAATCTCCATCGGTTGGCTCATCAGGGGGTTTAATGAGTTGTTGGGATGATAAAGTTTTCAAATTAGAAAGTCAGTCTATCTACAGAAGATTCATTGTCTTATCCGGAAAATTTCGTGTCAATAATTTCAATTGTATTTTCATCAATGTTTATGGCCTTTCAGTAGATGAGGAGAAAGATAGTTTTTTTGAAGAGTTGAGCATGTTCATAAGTGGTCAGAGGGCTCCTATTTGTGTAGGGGGACTTTAATGTTTATTCGCATGATGGAGAGAAGATCGGAAGAACTCAGAACATGAATTCAATGAGGATATTCAATCTTTTTATGCTGCAAACAGGCTTAATTGAGTTACCTTTAAATGGAGGAAGGTTTACTTGGTGCAATAATCAAGATACCCCTACACATGTTAGATTGGACCGATTTTTGGTTGATGGCCAATTTCTTGGAGCATTTCCTAATTTGGTGCAAACCTTATTGCCTAGATCTCTTTGAGACCATAATGCTATTCTGCTGAAGAATGGAGGTGTCAATTGGGGTAAAAAGCCTTTTAAACTTTTTAACTATCTCATGGAAGAAGTTGGGTTTGAGGATTTGGTCAGATCTTCTATTCAAGAAAGGAAGAATCAGCAGAGGAAGGCTGGAATTTATAGTATACTGAGAAATACAAAAACTGCTATAAAAAATTGGGCCGGCAGTAGGGTCCAATTTCCTGGGGCTAATATCTTAGCCTTAGAATCGAGGATCCACAGTCTAGAATTGGATATTCAACAGTTGCAGGATGATGTTAACAGTGGAATGGCAGCAGAGTTAGTTTCAACAAGAATAGAATTGTGGAGACTCTATAAAATAGAGGAGCAAATCTGGTTCCAAAAGTCCAGATCAAAATGGATAGAAGATGGAGATAGAAATACAAGTTTTTTTCATAATTGTGCTTCGATTAGGAAGAGGAGGAATGCTTTGAATGCCTTGAATATCGGGGGTAATGTTATTAAAGAACCTTCTGTCATTAAGACCATTATTAGGTACCACTTCTTTAAGATTTTCAATGAGCATTCGACTTTAGAGGTGGAAGAGACCAGGTTGATTTTTCCTAGTATTTTAGTTGAGCATAATATAAGTTTAGAGAAGGAATTTTCAGAGGAGGAAATCTGGGAGACTATGTAATCTTGTGATAGTAATAAAGCACCGGGACCGTATGGTTTAAATATGGGATTCTTCAAAAGGTTTTGGCATGTCCTCAAGGTTGATATTATGAAATTTTTTATAATTTTTATTTGGGGAAAAAATGGGAACATGGGGTTAATCATACCTTTATCACTCTCATTCCAAAGGTCTCTAACATTGGTGGTCTAGATGACTTTAGACCAATTAGCCTAGTTGGTGGGTTGTATAAGATCATTTCTAAGCGTTTGTCGAGGAGATTGAGGTGTTGCATTTCAGACATCATTAGTCCAACTCAGTTTGCCTTCATACCGGGTATACATATTCTGAATTGTTCTTTAATTGCTAATGAAATAGTGCATTATTGGAGAAAAAATGGACTCAAGGGCTGTGTATTCAAGGTTGATTTCAAGAAAGCTTACGACTCTATTGAGTGGTCTATTTTATTTAAATTAATGGAGAAAATGGGATTCGGGTCCAGATGGAGGGGCTGGATTGAACAGTGTGTAACCATAACTTTTGTTTCGGTTCTAGTAAATGGAGTTCCTTCTGAAGAATTCTCAATGGCTAAAGGTCTTCGTCAGGGTTGTTCGCTGTCTCATTTGTTGTTTAATTTAGTAGGGGAGCTACTTAATCTATTGATTCGAAGGGCAGTGTCACAGGGTTTGTTTTCTGGAATGATGATTGGCAGAGAACAGGGGTCTGTAAATGTGTCACATTTACAGTTTGCGGATGATCTGATTATATTTTCTGGTGCCTCGAAGATGCAAATTCAGAATGTCAAAAGGGTGCTTCGAGTTTTTCAAGTGGTTTCTGGTCTACAGCTGAATTTGAAGAAGAGTAAATTGTTTGGTGTGAATGTTAATGAGGAGGAACTGCTGGAATTGGCTACTTCTATTGGATGTTCAATTGGGAGATTTCCTTCAAAATATATAGGACTTCCCCTAGGTGCTACTAGAAATTCTGCAGCTATTTGGGAACCTGTCATTAATAATTTTTTTAACAAGTTATCCAGGTGGAAAGCAGCATCTCTCTCTTTAGCAGGGAGACTAGTGTTAATTAAGGCGGTTCTATGTTCGCTTCCTATATATTATCTTTCCATATTTAAAATTCCAGCTTCGGTTCTTAAAACCCTTAACTCTATTATGTCTAATTTCCTATGGGGAAGGGGAAATGGCATTAGAAAAATTCACTGGGTTAGTTGGTCCAATGTTAGTAAGCCGAAGAGTGAAAGGGGCTTAGGAGTTCTTAATCTTAACTTGATGAATAGAGCGCTTTTGGGGAAATGGACTTGGAGGTTTGCAAATGATAGGGACTCAGTTTGGAGGGAAGTTGTTTGTGCCAAATATAGACTCGATTCTTCAGTTTTAACTATGGACAGCAAGCTTCCACCTAAGGTATCCTGGATTTGGAGATCACTGCTAAATAATTATTTTGAAGAAGACTTCTTTGGCACTAAGTTTAAAAGCATGAGTAGTTTTCATGTTGGTGATGGTATAAATATTCGGTTTTGGCAAGATATTTGGTCTATGGATCATCCATTTGATGTCATTATTCCGAGACTATTTTCTATTTCCTTAAATCAGTTTGGGAAATTATCTGAATTTTGGGAGTATATCTCTTCTGTTTGGACTTGGTATGTCAAGTTTAGAAGAAATCTTCATGACTGGGAACTTGAACAATGGTCTAACTTGTTGGCTATCATTACAAAATTTTCACTCTCTTCAGAATTTCCTGATCGTGTGATCTGGAAAGGTACTGGGGATGGGGTTTTTATTGTTAGATCAACTGTTAATCTAGGTTCATTGGAGACTTTGGGATCGGCGGAGGTCTTTTTCTGGAAGAAGATCATTTGGAGAGGTCTACTACCTCCAAGAGTAGAGTGTTTTCTTTGGCAGATTGCTCATGGGAAGCTGGCTGTTAGGACTGAACTTGTCAAAAGAGGTGTTCAAGGAATTGAAGATGTGTTGTGTCCCCTATGTAAGATGTCGGATGAGTCTCCCTCTCATTTATTTTTCTCTTATTCGATGGTGTGGTCCCTTTGGAATAAGTTTTTAAGTTTTTGGAGGATTTGTTCTGTTTTACCAGCGGACGCTAAAAGCTTCTTTCTAGCTTGGGATGGTTTAAAGTCTATCTCTTTGATTTGGCCTTTTATTCCAGGGGTCATTCTGTGGACCACTTGGAAAATGAGGAATTTCGTGGTGTTCGAAGGGGGGGAAGTTTAATAAGACATAATTATTCTTTTTAGCAAGGTTTAGGCTTGCTTCTTGGTTCTTAGCAAAGTATAAAGAAGTGTATATTCCTAAAGACTCACTTATTTCCGATCCTTCTCTTGGGGACTTGTTTTCTCTTCGCTCTACTCAGATTTCTCCTACTTTACTTTGGTCTCCTCCTCCTTTGGGTTTTGTTAAATTAAATGTTGATGCTGCCACTACAAGGGATTGGAAGAAAAATGGGTTAGGAGGAGTTCTAAAAGATTCCTCAGGTTCTACTATAGGTTATTTCAAGGAAACTGCTGGTCCGGGACCGCCTACGTTGATGGAGTTAAAGGCTATTATTATGGGGTTATCTTTCTTTGCAAACTATCAACAGAGGATCAATGACCGTCTGATTATAGAGAGTGATAGTAAGGTGGATGTGGATTGGATTAAGAGGGATGAATTATGTCCTGTTGTATATGCCTTCTTGATTAAAGATATTGCTCATAGACTTAATGCCTTTGAAAGTGTTGTTAGATGTGTTAGTAGGGCAGCCAATTTAGAGGCTGATGCCTTAACTAAAGAAGGCATAGGCTAAGTCAGTAAAGTTGTTGATTGCTATTTAAGGTGGTGTCTGGATTTTATGTGTTTTGTAAAGGGATTACTAGTGCTGTTTTAGCTAATTGTGTTTTTAGTTAGGGTGTTTTATGGGTGCTTCCAACTTATTTGGTTCTGTTGGGGTAGTTTTGTCGGTTGTATTGTTGGTTGTATCTTATGTGCTTTTATTGTTCAATAAAATCCTAAGGCACTCTTTTCATCTTTCCGCTGATTAAGGAGCTTCCCTACAAGCTCCATTAATCAAGAAGGGGGTTTTTAATGAGACCTGAAATTCTTATAAAAAAAAATGAGATCGAATCAAAATAAACCTTCCACTCGCAGCTGATCGCTTGTGGACTTGAGAGAAGGATCTCCTGTCGCTTTGAACATCAACCCATTTTGAGAAATAAAGCTTAATTCATCGTAACCCAATATCAACACGAACTTCCGTATGTTCCCCACCACTTAGTATATAAAACTTGGCTCATGGGAATCCATTTTTAGTTGTACAGCTTCATCATAATTCTGTACTACTCCCACATAATTTCCCTTCGGTTTGAGCTGACATAAGAGACAGTCCTCATCTCTAATGGTTTACTAATACATTTAGCAAGAAAGTAAAATAGAAGGAATGGGTGAAATTTCAGTGGTGATCAACAACAAAAAAAAGGTGCTTAGAGCCCTGGTATAGATTCAAGGTTGTATTGTTTAGGAATTGAAGATTCGAACACTCGGTTATCCTCTAGTTTTGGCTTCTTAATGGCATCAAGAGTCTGCAAGTAGGTGTAGGAAGCTGTCCGACTAACTGATGGGCCAGGATTGCTTATTCTGCTGGCAAGGAAGCGGCGGATTAGACCCCGAAGGAAAGGAGCCATTGTATCTGGCTCATATTCTAGGTAGTACATGATTCCTCCCATGCATGCACAAAATAAGGCAACCTGTGACAGTTCAGAATCATCAACTCAGGAACGGAATTTATATGAAAAAACCTTATTCATTTAAATAGCATAGATGTTCAAAAACCGGACAATTCACAGATTCACAATAGCACTTTTTGAAATGCATAAGCATAGTCTCGGCTAAGGTGACTTGTCCTGATATTTTTCAAGAACAAAGCTGGTTATAAATCTCTAACTACGGGCATAGTTTTCATTTACATCCACAAAGATGCTCTCACAAGAAAGAAATTTTAAGAGGCACATTTGTAGCATTTTAACATACCTCAGCATTTTTAACATCAGGAAGTAGCCGCCTGTTAACCAAAATATACCACAATGATTCTCCAGCTCGGGGAAGAACATATAGAGCAAGCTCACTCCGTCTAGCTTTTTTCTCCAGTAATACAGAAAGAGCAGATAAACCACCAGCGACCCAATATACCAGCTTGTGGTCTTTTGATGCAATTTTTCTATGCATGCATATAACCGCCTTGGATTGCACGAGAAAAAATATTCAACTTATTCTTACTGATTTTAACAACAGATAGAAGTGAATGAGAAATGAGAAACCAGCTACCTGAAAGATTCCGACAAATGCAGACAAGAAACATGTTGATCGAACAGAACCTTTAACAGCAAGCCAGCAGGTACGAGCAGGGGTATCCATAAACTAAAAGGACATCATAAAATTAAAAAAAAGATGGATCAGTTCCAAACTGAAGTTCTACTGTCAACTACAAGAAAGTCTCATTTACAAAAGGACAAACTGTAAGATTGGTTCTTTTCCTTTGTTGCCAGGCATAGGTGATTTTACTCAACTATTCACAGATTAACCGAATAATAAAATCCATGATTCCCACAGCACTCACGTGACATTACTAAAATGGCATTTCCTTAACCGGTTGACTATTTCATTTTTTGAAAAGAAGAGGTGTTTAAATGCAAAAGGCAGGCTTACGCTGACCTATTATAGAGTTCAAATGCATAAAGAGTATGATACCCAAGTTTGCTTTTTTCATATAAAGTATAAACAGAAGCATATGATAGTAAAGGCTGAAAGAAAAACTAACTCTAAGGACCCAAGATACGCATGCAGAAAGGAGACCAATATATTATACAAGATGTACCTTTTGTAGGCGCAAAACAACAAATGGCACAAACGTCAGAGAGAAGTACAGAGGAAATGTTTTCCTGAATGTAGCTGATGCAGCTTTAGCATTGTGTGTTAGACAAGAATTTGTGTCAGGATGAATAATAGAACAAGGTATAATAGACGGGAACTCTTCCAACTTCACATTATTGGACTTCCCTCGGCTAGATAAGTAGGCTGATATAGATGCAACATTCACTGGACCACCTCTACAGCTTTCCCTTACAGCCTTATATACAGGAGCAGCAACAGGACCAGTCTTCTGAATAAAATCTTGATATGCTTTTGGCAAGCTTTCAGGACGCATCACAAAGGCATACATAACCTGGTACGATAATTGGTAAAATGGGAGAAGGTGAAAACAAACGCAGAAATTTAGCATAAAAAATTAGCAACTATCAATAAAAAGTAGCTTTTAGAACATAAAAGGTAGTCAGATGAAAACTAATTTGGAGGTAAAATTCACAAGCTCATAGGAGCAGATTACAGTTAGAAACATTTCCAGAACATCACACGTGAAAGAGTCAACTTCTGTAGTTGTTATACCTAAAATTTAGCCTATGCTTCTATTTGGCACCTTTAGCTCACTAAAGACCAAACTAAACAATTTCTAGTGTTTTGAATGTTCCACTATCATCAAATTGGTGTATACAGATAAAATAACAAATTGAGCTTTACATTACCTGGGCACATGCTAAATAAAAGAGCAGAGAGTCACCATGCTTCCAATGACTTCCCCAAAAGTGAAATCTATTTTTCGACTTTGCAGAATTGTAAGCACACTGAAGATTAAAGCAAAATATTAGAGTGCAAATAGAGAGCTGGAATCCACGATCTCAAATCTTTGCAAGTCTAAAAGCTTTCATGTACCTGGGCTAATCTAGCCAAAAGATACAGTGCAAGTGTACGTCTTCGGCTTGAATCATCCAAAGCCAAAATAGACAACCCTGCAATTGAACCTGCTAAAAGTCTGTTCCAGCATAACCTTAAACAATGTCAAATAAAAGAATAATGTTCTAGCACGCATAAAAAGATTTCAAATAAGCATTTATCATAAGCCACAATTAGATATGAATCTCTTAGGAACCAACCACTTAAAAACAAGACAAAAAAAGCCAAAGTAAGGCCTTATATAGCGAACTTACGCATTCACTGGTGTCTCTTTCTTTCTCAGCTTCCTTAATAAACATCTAAGCAAATGGTATGACCCTGTGAAACCTCCAAAAAGTAAACCAATGCGGCATGCTTCCTCTCTCACAATCAAATCTTTCTCCGAGACAAGTTGCTGATGAACAAATTTATGCATTCAAACATTGTTAATATCAATTTTCTGCATATTCTTACACAATAATTCCTAGCAAACCCAAATAATGAACTACAAAATCACAGCAAATTTGCCAACCAGTCATCTAATCTCATCAGCTTTTTTTATTCTCTTTTGGAAAAAAATAGTTCATTTTACTAGTTCAGTAAAAGTGTTTGGAAGGTTAAAACCCTAACCTTGAGATCAAGAAGCGAAGAATAAGACTGTCTTCTGGCGAGCTTGAAAGCGCGGAGAAGAATCCCGATGCCCACTCTGACACCATAAGAAAGGAGAAAAGTTTGGCAAAGATTGCCAATGGCGTTGGCCACGCAGGAGTCATTCGCATGGTCGCACGGGGGGTCGTCGCCACTCGCCACCGTCCTCTGACGCCTATGGAGCTCCTCTATTGCTTCCCTCAATCGCTCCTCCGCCTCACGCAGCCTTCGCTCCGCCTCCGCACTGTCCGCCAACAACCGTGCAGAGGAATTTGCGTTTTTAGAGAGAGTCGACATTTCGAATTCGATATCGCCGTTCTTTCTATTTGCATCGGAAAGCTAAGCTTGGAAAAACGAGCAAAGAGGACAGAGAAGGATAAGTAGATCGAATTATAACACTAATAAATAGTGAGTTTTTATTTTTTGGGTAAGATACACCAATAGTCATTACACTATACTGAAATAATGTTTTAACCAATGAAGTTTTATATGTTACAAAATAGTCATTAAACTTATCAAATTATTATAAAATGATCATTAAAATTTATCAAACTAGTAAAAAATATTCATTAAAACTTATTAAATTGTTACAAAATTGATCTTTCAACTTATCAAAATCTATCATTATTTTATAACTTGCAATGACCATTTTATAACAATTTCAACAAGTTAGAAAGAAATTATCCAAAAGGTAAAAGGGTAACTTTTTCCCTTGTAGTAAACATATTTTATCACTTTCACTCCTATTGTATTTTCACATCAATTTAACTCTCATAGTTGTTTAATTACATTATTCTATACCCTACCCCAATTTAAAAGCCTAATTTACAAACTTTAAACCCTAAACCATAACCTCTCAAACTTATGTTTTATAATTTAGAGTTTTAAGTTAAAGATAAGTATAGAATGATGTAATTGAACAACTTTGAGGGCTAAATTGATGCAAAAATACGATAGGGACGAAAATAATAAATTGAATCTACTACAGGAGCAAAGATGTCCCTTAAACCTATCCAAAACATACAATTGCATAGAATAATAAAAATAAGTTGCAATGTCTCAAAGTTGAAAGAATATTGAACACAATGAATGTCATTATTCCAAATACAAATATCCCCCGATAAATATATATTTGAAGTTTCATAAACGATCAATGGGAGAAGAATAAAAATGTTAAAAGTTAAGAATTCTTGAAAGCTATTGCTTCAGCTTTCCACAATGCAGACTAGAAACTACAGAAACAGAAATAAGAAGCCGATCCAAGGGAGCAGTTTATGCTTCCCATCCTCTAAGGATAGTTGCACGAGCCACACGGTTCACCCCCAGCGTAAACGCACCCATCCGGAGACTGCACTCGTGTGTCTGGCACATGTTCTTGATGTTATGAAAAGCTTGAGTCATGTACTTCTTCAGCTCCGTGTTCACTTTCTCCTCATCCCACATGAAACCTTGAATGTTCTGCCAAGTTACATGAAAAAATAATGACAATATTTAAAAAGATAAGATACATGATGAAACAGATTAAACGTTTTTGCATACCTGAACCCACTCGAAGTAGCTGACTGTCACTCCCCCTGCATTTGCATATATGTCGGGTAGTATTACCACTCCTTTCTTTGATAGAATCTGCAGTATCGAATTTTCGGGTCAGATGTTTACCACTTATAATAGCAGAAAACAAGGATGGGACGGGGGATTTACCTCATCCGCTTCTGGATCTGTGGGATGATTTGCTGCCTCTATTATAAACTTCGCCTTCACATCTGCAGCATTTTCCCTTTAAAGAAGATAAGCCAATATGAGAGACAATCAGTACGTGAAGCAATCATGGGGTTATTAAGATGACACCAACTAAGACTCAGCAAAAGATAAGTTAAATTAGAACACAGCAGAACATGCAATAGTTTATACAGAGATGTTCGAACCAATATGCTTGGAAATTGATCCTAACCTGTTCAGGACTCCACCTAAAGCACATGGGATGAGAACATCACATTCATGCACAAGCACTTCATTTGGATCCATGGAATCACCACCGCTGAAGCTTTTCAAACTGCCAGTAGCTTCTTTATGCTTTAGCAGTTCCGGTATATCGATTCCGTTTGGATTCTTAATAGCACCCGTTATGTCACTCACCACGATAATCTTACCACCCTTCTCGTGTATGAGCCTCGAGGCCCAAGACCCCACATTACCAAAACCCTAGGAAAATTTAATAATAATCATTAAAAAAGCACCTCAAAGGGAAATACATTCTAACCATGTTACAGATCATGTGGACTATACCTGAATAACAAATGACATCCCCTTTATTGACTTCCCATATTCAGCAAGTAAAGCTTCAGTTGCATATACAACACCGCGCCCGGTTGCAGCTTCCCTGCCTAGTGATCCACCAAGATCCTAAGATTTTCAAGTATATCGAGATCCTTTTATTCTGAAACTTTGAGTATTCATCCAGAATATGGCATTAAATCTATCTTTAGCACTTACAATAGGCTTCCCTGTAACAACAGCCGGTGAGTGTCCATGAAACTTCGAGTATTCATCCAGAATCCATGCCATGGTCTGTACATATTTCATATATTTAAAAAAAATATTAAAAAAAGCTAAATGGAATTCAAACAAATTTATGATTTAGAAACCAAAAGGAAGTACATGAAACATTGAAACATAAAAGTGAGGACTGTATAACCTGTGCATTAGTCCCCATGTCTGGTGCAGGAACATCTGTATGTATACCAATAAGATCATGGATCTTTTGAGTGAAGACCCGAGTTAGACGTTCCAATTCACTCTTACTTAAATCCCTAGGATTGCAGCCAATGCCTCCTTTCGCACCGCCGTAAGGAATGTCAGCTACACCCGTTTTCCAGGTCATTAGTTGAGCCAGGGCATTTACTTCATCAGGGTCAACCTTTAAGCAAAATCGACAAAAAGATAGATTGTGAATCCCAATGATGTTTCGTCTCTTTTATGCTGTAAGATCAAGCACAACTGAAATCCCATGTTGAAATTTAGAACAGTGGAAACAAATCAACTGTAGAGGGCATGTTAGAACTCAGAACATAAAAAGAAAATAAAATCCAGAAACCCAATATACAGAATTCTTTGCTAAATCTCATTAACGTCGGGATCTGGAAGAACAGGGAATTAGAAAGAACAAAAACAAAAGCTGCAAACTTGATTTAACAAACTAAGAATCCTCGAAGAACAATACAGGAAAATCACCAAAGAAAAGTTTGTCTTTTCTTTCTAATAAGAAGAATGCCTACATCCCAACAAACCAAAGTAAAACCAAACAATAAACAAACAATCATGTCAAAAACAACAAGCAATGTAAAAGACAAAAGAAGACCTCAGGATGATATCTGATTCCTCCTTTCATGGGACCACGGGCATTATCGTGTTGTATCCTAAATCCAACGTATGTCGCCAAGGTTCCATCGTCTTTGGGGATCGTGCACTCCACCTGCTCCAATAAAAAAAGCATGAGAAATCCACGATCAGATTCGAGGAGGAAGAGGGTTTCTGTAGGGGAATACCTTGATTTCTCTAAAAGGGATGAGAAGACTCTTCTCGAGCTTAGTGTCTAGCCCAAGTAAACGAGAAGCCAGTCGGAAATTGCGGTTGGTTGCAGCAAGAGCATTCATGGCGACCTACTAAGAACTCAACAAGAAATACCCAGAAAGAAAAATCAACGGCTCGATGGAGAGTAAAAGAGAAAGACGTTGATTAGTTACTACTTGATGAAACGACGACAATGAGATGAAGAGGAAAAGAAAAAGTCTGCCTTTTCCCAGGAGAGAGAAGGGGTATATATATAGGGGGAGGAGGATAGAGGATGGATAATCAAAGAGTTATTCTTCACATCAAACTTCAAGTGTTATTCCATATTTTATTAGGACAGGATCTTTCAACAAAACAAAACTCTCATCTCTTATTATAAAAATAAAAAGGATAAAAACTACACATTTAGTTCCCCAATTCACTTTTATTCCGTTTTGGTCACTTAATTATTTGTTTTTTCAAAATCATATCTAATATTTAGTTTTAGTTTCAAAATCATTGAAATTTTTGTTGATGTGTCACCATAAGATAATATTACGCCATCATTGAAATTTTTAAAAAACATCAAATCAATTTTAAACGTTACATGAGTAAAATAAAACCAAAACATAATAAAAGTGATAGTTAGAATACTAAACGTGTAGTTTACCCAAATAAAGAACAATCCCCGAAACACTTAGAATTTACGCTAGTGCCCCATCCATGATGCTTTGATGTTAGATTATTTACCATATTAATAATTTACATTTATTTTATTATTTCATGTCTGATTACTTTTCAATAGCATTAATACAAAAGATGAAAGTAATTTAAAGAGGAAATATAGATATTTCTGGAAAATAAATAATTTAGAATTTACATAATTTTTAATAAAAAAACTCATTATTTTTGTTAAATTCAAAATTTTCCTACATAACAAACAACAGCTGCCGTAATTGACTTGGTCTTTGTCCTTTTTTTATTACTATTTTTAATTGGGACATTGTACAAATATTTTCAATAAGAATTAAAGTTTAATGTAGTATTTGTTTTTGGTACAATTCATAATAGTATTTTAATTACTGCAAGACAATTTTAATTATAATTGAATATTTTAAAAATAATTAATTGATGCCATTGGCAACAGAAAATTGAAATATTTTGAGCAAAGTGTGCAAGCTTTTCTTTTCCTTTTTGAGTATAAAAAGGATTTAAGTGATATATTTTTTAAAAGGGTAAACTACACAATTGTTCCCCTAACTATAGGGTAATGTTTTTTAGGTCTCTCGACTATTAAAAGGTACAAAATTATCTTCTAACTATATAATGATGCTTTGTTAAATCCATTGACTATTAAAAGTTATAGAATGATCACCAAATTATTCATTATGTTCCAAATTCGTCATTTTTCATTAAAAAATGACGGTTGTTCAAGTTGGGCGTCAACATGATGACTGAGATATAATAGTCATTTGAGATTCTTGGATCAAATTTTATCATATCACAATCAACATGTTGACGTTCAGCTTAAAATACCGTTTATTTTCTAACGAAAAATGACAGTTTGGAACGTAATGAATAGCCAGGTGACAATTTTGTAACATTTAATACTCAAGGGACTTAACAAAGCAGTATATTATAGTCAAAGGACCATTGTATACTTTACCCTTTTGAAAAAACTTGATTGTTTATAGTGGGATTGAGTTTTAAGGGGAGGGCAGAGCAGCCATTGGATTGACTAGGCGAGGACGCGGCAACTCGCCGCCTATATCCTCATGACGTGTACTTTGTTCATCGAAATCCGCTAATTATGGTAAGAGAAGACAATCAAATCCCATTAGCTGTGAAATTCAAGTGTTAATTAAATCCTCATGTCTTTATCTATTCATTTGTTCGGTTAAATTTGAATAAACGAACATAAATACACCGTCGTTCATGTTTATTCGGCTTACAAGCCTACCTACCCCTCTGGTAGATCACAGCAAGGAGGAGAAGGCATTCCAAACCAACAAAAACAGAAGTACATATTCTTTAAGAGATAAGTGGCATCACGGTCGCACACATTTTAAGAAATATTCCAACACAATGAATGGCATTTTATCTACTCTCCGGATATCTGTTTTCTCATGTAAATATGCTCTGATTTCCCTCCCTCAAGATTCTAGCCCACAATTTGAGAAAAATCCGGCCGGCCCTTTTGCAGGTAAATTGCAGTTCAACATTTTCCCTCCCCGATACATAATGACAATCTCATCATTGTTAAACTATATGTAATGTTCTTCTCGGAATTGCAGCCTCGGACAATGTGATTCATCTTAATATGGTCTGTATCTCATTGGCCGCCTGAACCCTGGAACCCTCCTGAAAATGTGCTCGATTGTGTTCAATACGATCAATAACAGGGTCACAAAGCAGAAAAACTATCATTATCCAAAATATTATGCAAAAAACCAATAGTGAACATGCAGAGAAACCAAAATATCTAATTTATTATTTTCGTCCCTTTCATATTTTCACGTTGCTAGAGAATGTCGTCTTGAGCTTGTAGTATTCGACTCTTATCAGTATTGCAGCTGTTGATAGTATTCGACTCTTATTAGTATTGCATCTGTTGATAGCATTTGACTCTTATTAGTATTGCAGCTGTTGAGATCTCCGATTAACTTGGATAACTCAAAATTTTTCTTCTTAATTTTCAAGTCAAAACCGAATTTTGCCCATCTCTAGATGAAATCACCAATAACTTTTGCATACTAAATATCCACCTGGTTCAGAAGGAAGATGATAGAGTGTTTTAATATTCTGGCTATAACAAGTAAAATGAAAGACACGACTGGGTACTAATAATTACTGATACATATAGGTTGACTGACGGACATTTGCACCAGTTGGCAATGTGCCACTCCGGTGAGAACTAGTCGTATAAGACTCGTTTTCCCCTACTCCATCAGCAAACCCATATAGATCTGCTGATGTCCTGGCACTACCATCCGGCAAACCGACGAATCCTTCCATGGTTGACGATGACCCATATAAACTACCAAACCTCATGGATGCCGAATGCCCGACTGACTGTTGTCTCCATCCTCCATATGTCCTGATTAATTCCTCAGCCTTATTGACTTCAGTCCCCCCACGAGCTCCAGAATAAGAGCCTACGCTGCTGCTTCCAACACCGCCGATCCCTACCATCTGGGCAACTCCATTTCTAGGTAAAGAACCTACAGTCGATCCATGTGGTACGGATGAGGCAGCCGGATGACCAGAAATAGCACCGTCATACGAGTTCGACATCAAACCATTATACGACCTCATGCTGTTGGCAAGAGTAGTAGCCCGTTGCTCATTCAGCAACCCATTGACATGAGAAGAATTCGGCAAGGGTGACCCTATGGTGGCGAATCGTGAACGTTTGATTTCTTGACTCATAACCCTACTTGACGACCCCATTTCATCCGGTTTTCTCTTTGGTATCATTTTCTTTTCCTCAATCTTTCTATTTAGCACTAAATTTTCTTCTTCCATCTTGATTATCTTCTCTTCAATTTTCCATGAACCGAGAAACTTTGCTACATCACTGCTGCAATCGTCCAAATATTTGAGGACAGATTTGAGAGCATCCAAGTGCTTTTCATTAGCCATTTTCTGCAAAGCCATGGAGATCAATGCAATATTAAAGAAAGGTATACATGAAAATAGTGTGACAGAAGATCAGAAAAGACCATACCAATGCTACTGGCGAATTTTGTGCTTCCTGCTTCGCCTTCTTGAATTCTTTTGCAGACTCTTGCAAGAATAAAGTCAAAATTTTCTTAAGGGAGCATTTATCCTCAAGCCCAAAGGTAGAAGCAACATCAACAGCTTCAACATGCATTCCATTCTTCGCCATAGCCTCTATTATATCTATAGCAGACAAAAGCATCATAAGAACCAAAAATTGCTGATACAACTTGATCAAAAACCTAAATGCAACCACCCATCTCCAATCCAATTGAAAATATTTAGGTCTAAACTATGTTCCTAGTCCCTATACACCTCATATATTGAAATGTAGTCCATCTACTTTTAATTATTTGTTTAATGTCCCACCTTAAGAATGAAAAGTAAAACAGAAAAATAAATAAATAAACTGGAGGAGGGAAAAAGAACCGAGTCTGACTCCCATTTAGTTCTTGCAAATCAGTGAAGAAGAACAATAGCCATTTAAAATCCCTAACTTCCTTCATCATTCCAATCAGAATTGGAATAAAAAAAAAATATGAAATACCCATTAACTATCCTTACTTTTCTGAATCAGAAACCCTAAATCGATACCCTATCCCAGTTTGAATTCCCAATTGGATTTCGACAATGAAATTCAAATCGAATCCCGAATACTTTTCTGAATCAGAAACCCTAAATCGATACCCTATCCCAGTTTGAATTCCCAATTGGGTTTCGACAATGAAATCCAAATCGGATCCCGAATCCTCTTTGCCGCCATCAAGTGTAGAGAGAAGTCATGAAATGAAGCCAAGCCCAAGGTTTTATTCCTTCCACACAGAATGAAAATAATTTCCAATTTCGCAAAACGCTGAGATCTAATCCAATCCCTTGGTCATTCCTACAGCTAAAAATAGGAAAAAGCTCATCTAATGTACGCACTGTCACCAACCAATTATCTTTGCTTCCAGCAATGATTTCCAGATCCAGCCTCATCGTTTCTTTTTCTTTCCAACGAAAAGATGACTTGGTCAATCTCATCTCAGGTTGCAACAGCAGCGGTGGCAGTGACTTCTCTGCCACAACCAGCAGCGAAAACTTCCCTGGTCACCAGGAAAGTACTACAAGCAAGACTAGAAATCAATCTAGCCGTGAATGATATGTCAACACTTTTTTTTCATATATGGCTTCCGTGGGGCTTTATATTGGCAACGTCAAAAACTTGAAATTATTAAAATGCCACATAGGCAGCTTTAACGGGAGAGCTTTGACAGTGTTAACAATTGCAGTTCAATTTTTAAATCAAAATAGCATTGGGAATGGATTACTGGAACCAAAAGTAGAGACTAAATTTCAAACACGTGAAGAAAACAAGGACTATGAGCTGCCAAAAATTTAACAGTGGCAGTCATATGGGTAAAGAAATGGATGTCTAATTTCTACGACAATTCTCCTTATGGGTATTTAAAAGTGAGGCAGACCACGACAACTTTTTCAGAAGGTATAAATAAAGTATTTCAAACTCTTTGTTTTACAAGAAGTGACCATACAACACAAAACGCTGCCACCCAGGATATGATGAAACTCTTATAAAACCAAGGAGATTCCATCAAGGAAGGATTTTTCTATAACAACAGAGAATTAATGAGCACAAAGAAGCTACGAAACGTCGGAACATAATCTACACGCACTAAGAAAGACTCTTTCTCTTGACCTCATTTTAATACGTAAAATCTACCATACTCTTCCTTTTGATCTCAATATTTACGAAAGCACCTTCTAGTATCAACTATCATCAGCATTTAAATGAGAAACTCAAACTAACAGCTAACAACCTCCAAATATTTAACAGGGATTACCAGTTGGCTATGTAGGCATTGCACTTATTTAAAACCCAGCGTTTATCCATATTTCCTCCTACACTCGGTTCAGCTATTAATATTCAAGCTATATAAAGTAAAATCTGATACCATCTCATTGCTTGAGTAATTTACTAATCTCTAGGCATAAACAGAACAACATCTTGGGGTAGTTCAGAGCTGGCTAACAACCAAAAAGGGATTAAATTAAAGGGTCGTAAACAGAGGATATAATTGATTTTTCACCGTTCTTGTCACCAAAAGGGAATTTAAGGCTCATAAAACAAGGGATTTAAGGCATTCCTATTTTTCAGCTAGAGGCTGACAAGTTTAAAGTAAAGAATTAAAATGGTAGTTTACAGACTCATTTGCTAAAAAATGAACTCCACCACTAATCTATAGGATTATAATCTACATGAAACTATGACAAAATTCAAACTCTTGGAATAGATTCAGGTCATTGTATTGTACTTTAAAAACCCAAGGGCATGCATCAAAAAACATTTTTATCTGCTATATAAGAACCGCACTCCATACTAATAAGAACATTCCAACAAAATTACAACGTTATAAGCAATCATATATTGTAAACTAGGGAACCCGAATTCCCAAAGTGTAATTACCTGGAATTTTATGAGGAAGCACAGGAGAGGCCTTTAAGGCATCTGAACAAGCCCTGAGATTACACAACCGCAGAAAATTACCCAAGTCCTCAATCTTGAACACTTTTGGAATCCCAAAACAAGCCACAAAAAGCAACAAGCCTCTAGCATCAACTTCACTGGCTTTAGCCAAACCACCCTCATTAATCAACCTCTTTCGCCATGCAATGGCGGATTTCTCCGCTTCTTCCTTAAGGTTTTCCGGAACCTTAACCCTACCTTCACCGTGTAAACCTCCCATCATCAAAAGGAAAAACTCCAGCGCCAAGACGGAGGCTTCCCTTGCCGGAATCATGGGCGAGTCCTTGGTATAAGCCCTTATTCCTTGTAGATAGAACCTCCCAATGCAATCTAAAACCAATTTGGCCGGCTCTGGGGCAAGCTTCAGAGCCTCGGGGACTTCTTCTCGAAGCTTGGGAAGGTTTGATAAATGGGTGGCAATGTATTTACGGAGTCCTTTACTGGACATCATCTCGCATAGGCTTTCAATTTCGGAACGCGAGGATTTCGAAGGAGAAGCCTCTTCGGATCCCTTTTTCGCCGTTTCACCATCGGCCCCTGTAGGTTTGGGGGCGTATTGGGGTTCGATTTGTGGGCATTTTCGTTGTTGAGGTTCATTGAATTTGGAGTCGATGGCTTTGTTGATGAAATCCAAGTGTTTGGTTAAGTCATCGAATCTGCATTTGAAAGCATGGATTGTGGATGAGAGGGAGGCAAGATCGTCGATGGATTTTAAGAATTGGGGTTGCCCTCGTTCTTCTTCTTCTTCTTCGAGTTGATGCGGTTGGGTTGATGGCATCTGTTGCAGATCGGGCTGGGCTTTGACAACTGCTAACGGTTGTAGAACGGGGTCGGACGGTGGCTCAGACAGTGTCGGTCCGACTAGTTCTTGCTTGATGAAAGGGTCGGAAGGCTGGGACATGACTACAGGAGATGAGAGCAGAACCACACTTTAACGGCGAATTTAGCCGCAGAAGCTAAAAATCTCGAGTTAAAGACTTGATCTTTTTTCTTTGCCCAGAGTCTGGTGACCATTAGACCTATGGGTTGCATTGGGCCTTGTTTACATTTGACAACTAGGGCTTTTCGTTTCGGTAATAAGATGAGTTGTCCGGATTATTTGAATTTTATGTTTGGATTGTCTGATATCAAATTTAAAATTTATTTGATAGGTTTTTTATAGGCTAGTATATCTAGTTTATCATTTCTATCTCTATTATATTTTTGTACCGATTTAATCCTCAAAGTTGTTTAATTGCATCGTTCTATATCTTATCCCTAACTTAAAATCTTAAATTATAAATCTTAAGTTAGGGTTTAGGGTTTAAGTTTATAATTTAAGGTTTTAAGTTAGAGATAGAGTATAAAATGATACAATTGAGTAACTTCGAGAACTAAATTGATATGAAAATATAATTGGGACAAAAATAATAAATTAAGTCTACTACAAAAACAAAATTTATCCTTTTGTTTTTTTTTCATATTTTATTATGGATAAAAATGATAACGAAGTAAAGCTAAGCAGGATGGATGTGAAATTTTTCACACCTCTACAACAGATGATTTAGATGGCTTTATGTCTCCAAACATGTAATCATCTACCACTACAAATAGAGTATACTCAAATCTTATAGCAGCACGAATCAAGTGACATTTGTCGTAAAAGAATTGTAGTTATTTCTAAAGATTCGGGTTCGAACACTATAAATATCAGGGGTGTGAGCGTTTGATGTCAAAAAGTCGAGGGTTATCTTTTAAACAAATATTGTCTTGTACTTATCTAGATTAATAAAAAAATCTTATAGAAAGCCATTATATTCAAAGTATCTCAAAGACACATTAGTTCAAATCCACTTCTCATGCATCTTTAAAAACATATTCAACCTACTCCTAAATAAGTATATTACTGTGCAAACCTGTAACTACATCGAACACTCACTGAAACAACGATTAATCCTACACCAAACGATCAATGTACGGTCGAATTCCCCTTCACTTTGCCTGGGGGATACAACAAACTAGGGGTGTAAATCAACCGTTCCTGAATGAATAAAGTTGTATCCGTGTTTGTTTGTTTATTTTTTAAGGTGTTTATGTTCGGTTTGTATTCGTTTAAATTTTAATACCGTGTTCGTTTATTTAACATTCACTAACGTGATCTTTTAATGTTCATGAATATGTTTGTTTAAATGTTTGCGAACATGTTCGTTTATCGTTCGTAAACATGTTTGTTTAGAATAAAAAAAAAGGGAAAAGAGAGCTATTCAAAATATAAAAAAAAAATAAACAAGCTTATAAATGTACTTGTTCGTGAACATAAACGATCATGAATATGTTTGTTTAAATGTTTGCGAACATGTTCGTTTAGTGTTCGTTTATCGTTCGTAAACATGTTTGTTTAGAATAAAAAAAAGGAAAAAGAGAGCTATTCAAAATATGAAAAAATAAACAAGCTTATAAATGAGTTTGTTCATTAACATAAACGAACCGAACATATCTCTGTTCATTTTTGTTCGTTTATCAAATGAACATAAAATTTTTTGTTCGTTTATCAAATGAACATAAAAAAAGGAAAAAAAGAACTATTGAACTTAATAAACGAATATTATACGAATAGTTTATGAATAATTCACTGAATGCACTATTCATTTACACCCCTACAACCAACTCATCCTGATCTTTAAGAACACACAATAAGGAACAAAGAACACTAGAACTTGCTGAAAAATCACTACAATCAACCTGTAACACCCTATAAATTTCTTTGAAGACTAAATTGGTAATTTAAAATATCTTGAAAATTAATTGGGTAAATTTCCATGAGTTATGAAATTAAACTGAATTTTGGATAGAAGATTAATTCCTAGAAATTGGGTTTATGGAAGATCTAGGACTAAATGGAAATAAATGAATCATATATATTTAGATTGAAAACAAGAAAAGAATTGAACTCTATAATGAATAAATTAGCCAAAATATTATGTAAGCTTGTGCAAGGATCTTGACGGGGGTTTTCATCTTAAACATAGAGCGTTATATTAATAATAGGTCTAGAGCATGTTTCGAGTTTGAGTCCTTATATTTGCAGAAAATCGATTCACCCATCAGAAGCATACGTACGATATGGGTCAATTCAGATTAGTACGAAGCCTTGGAAATCGTTGAAGTGATTAAAATGAAGAGCACCACGTGTGTTTATTCCATGGAATAACAGCGGAAGGTCTTGTTGTCGATAGTCTTGGCGTGGAACCTGCACATGCACGCATTACATCACGTGAGAAACATGATTCGATTCCGCATGCCAATGGCCTTGGACGCTACAATCTTCGACTGGGGATGGGATTCTCTCTTAAATCTAACGCAAACCTGCAAATGCAATCATCATTCTTCGCTTCAAAACCAACCGTAAGTTCATCTTTCTTTCTTTTCCTGATCATGTCTTTTCCATTTGGCATTCTTGGTGTTTGATGCTGGCCAAGATGCCCATATTCTTTATTGAAATTTCAAGTCATTGTTATGCAGGTAAAGCTCACTTTCAAGTTTCTGCATCATGCTTAAGGTTCCAGAGCATCAGGTTGCAGGTCATCAAGCCATTGATGGAAATCTTGGCCCCCTCGTAGATGATTCAGGACGTTTTTACAAGCCTCTCCAGGAAAATGAACGCGGCACCAAGGAGCTGGCCTTCTATCGATCATTATCTTCCGACACACTGGTTCCGGACCACATCCGCAGATTCTTTCCAGTTTTCTATGGCAGCCAACTCTTGGAGGCCTCCGACGGGTCCGGTTTACGCCCCCACCTAGCCCTGCAGGATTTAGCCTCGAATCACCTTAATCCATCTATCTTGGATGTTAAAATGGGTTCAAGAACATGGTACCCCGAAGCATCCGATGAGTACATCCAAAGGTGCCTGGAGAAAGATAGAACAACTACTACTGTGTCCCTAGGCTTTAGAATATCTGGATTGCAGATATATGAAAGCAAGGAATCAGGGTTTTGGAAGCCTTCGAGGAAGGATGTCCTTAATTTTACTGCTGAAGATGTTAGATTAGTTCTGAGGAAGTTTGTTTCGTCGAATTCTTCGGATATGAAACCGGATTGTTGTTTCGCTCCCACCGTATACGGCGGTCCTGCAGGGATTTTGGAGCAATTACTGGAGCTGAAAACATGGTTCGAGGATCAAACGATTTTCCATTTGAATTCAACTTCACTTCTCATCTTGTTTGATAAGGAATCAGTTTTGAAAGGAAGGACTCCGTTGGGTGAAGTGAAACTCATCGATTTCGCTCATGTGGTGGAAGGCAAAGGTGTTATTGATCATAATTTCCTGGGGGGAATCTGCTCTTTGATCAAGTTCATCTCCGAGGTGCTGTCGCCTATTTGAAGGAATAGACAACAGAAGCTGGTTCACAGAACCGGAGGAGAAATGCTTGTCTAACAATAAATAACTGATGCAATTTTATGTTTAGTGAGATTGACAATGATGGAAAGGCTTGAAGCTCATCAATGCTTCATTGTCCACATGTAATACCCTTTCTGTGGCTACTACGGATTCACTTCTTTCAATAGGCGGTAGCAAAGGAAGAATAGCTAACGTTTCGTACCGGTTCCTTCCATACCACTACTTCCTTCTACTCAAAGAAGAGGGAAAGACTTATTCCACCTTCGCATGCTTCTAAGATGTCTCCTAAAAAGACTATCCTTTAAGTAGGACAAGGAAGAAGTGAAAGTGAAAGTGAGACGAGCAGGTACGTTGAGTCAGAATGTTAATTATAAGTCCATATACTATGCTTCGGATTCACTTCCTTCGCATGCTTTGGAATTTCGTACCGGTTAAGTAGGACAAGGAAGAAGTGAAAGTGAGACGAGCAGGTACGTTGAGTCAGAATGTTAATTATAAGTCCATATACTATGCTTTAAGTCCATATACTATGCTTTGGAATCTCTCCCTAGTCACATAACTCTAGAGCGATGAAGCATTCTCCTCCAAAATACGATTACCAATTGCTTTCGCGTATTTATTTAAGGCTTTCTAAATCATATCATTCTTATTTCCTGTCCCCCACCTTTTTAGTACCAAAAGAAAACAGCTAAAGCAACCCTTTCTGCAGCTCCTGGAACAGCCGAATAATCTGGAGTTGCTCTCTTTCTCGTATTCGAAGTGGTAGAGCGAGCTTATGTGCTTTTCATTTAAGGGAATGGTCTTTCGCAAAAGAAGTGAGAATCTCCTTCCACCTTTGATTTGATGATAATCGTATCATCCTTGCCCAATCCGTTTAGCACGTAATCTGTAGTCCGATCGTCTTACATATGTAGTCCAGCCGGCCCTCAATGTGGATGAAGCCGCTTATTTCCGTCCGATGATGCGTAGAAAAGATTGAGTGAAAATGAGATCTACCCTTTTCTTATATATGCAACCACCGGTGCCAGTTTTAGGGCTCAATCAAGGCCTCGGAAGCAATACAAGATATGGGTTCGTCAGACTTTATCATTCCTCCGGGTCAGAGGGAACTGCGAGACCTAGCTAACGCCCTTCTTCCATGATAGTAGGAAGGTATACTAGAAGCCAAGAAGCTTGTGAACAAACCAGAGAGGGGACAAGGACAGTGAACCTCCAAAGTGCAACAGATTGTTCAAATTTGTCTGTTAAATATTATTTTAAAGATTAAAAATGATATATTTTAGAGAAATGATGTGATATATCAAAAAAAGATAAATTACATCTTTAGTATTTAACTATTAATTTTAATTTATTTAAATTTTCAAAAAAATTAAAATTATATTTAAAATTATATTTTTATTTTATTTTAATACTCATGTTTAAAATTTAATGTAAAATTTTAAACAAATAAAAATTTTAAGTGATCAATTTAGATATTAAAAACGTTAAACTTTTAATTGATAGTTACTGTACAATCACAGGGAGCCCTGTACCATAAGTGGAATGTATAGTTACATACATCAAGGCATTAGCAATAGGGAGAAATTTCACCATTTGGTAACGTAATATCAAGCACCATAAACACGAAACTTAGGATCACCACCAACGGACTCGAGAGTCTCAGCCCAAGACATAGGCCCCCGTGTGGGTTCATCTATGGCATAGCCATCATCACTCTTGTGTATATGGGCAACTTTCCTGAAAAGCGATTGCTTAAGCAACATGTCAGCCTCATCCAGCACCCGTTCGGGCTCCTCCACCTCGGGTAAACTCTCCCTCCTCTTCTTGTTAAGTCGCACATGCGGCGAGTTCTTCAGCTCTTGCACCACCGTGAAGAGCCCCAGAGAGGTTGACAAAGCTATCATGCCCACCGCGACGTACGCCGCCACCAAATCGCCTTTCACTTTCTTTGGCGACTTCACATCCTCAAGAGTGCCCGAAATCAGCTGTTGGTGCGTAGGGTTTCAGTCTCGGTGGCGTTGAGGTCGCATACGTCGCTTTTCCTCGCAAATGAGTAGTTAATTGCTTCAAACAACCCTGGAATTATCATCACAAGACACTTTTGAATTAAAACCGGAAGGAGAAAAATAAAGTATAATAAAGATAAAGAAGGGAAGACTCACGCTTGATCTAAAAGCCATGATCTGTAGAAACTGATGAAGTATATGTTTTCCGAGTGACAAGTTGCTTGGAATCTTGTGGGGATTTATACAAGAAAGGAGATGAGAGTGGAGAAGCGGAAGAGAGTTCTGGAACCACCGCCCACAATGAACTGACATCTGTCAGCACTTTCAAGTGTACACCTCTAGCACACACTAGAATGCCGATTTAATTCCAAATTTATGGACTTTGTTTAAATCTAATTTCACAGAGTTGGGGTTTTTTTTCCTAAAAAAGAAATAGATTTAGGTGAAATTCAAATCAAATTTTATATATTAGATTAGGTTGAAACGAGTCAGATTCAAGTGAAAAGTGAAAGATTTCCGATCTAATCCGATTAGAAAGCAATAGAGTAATTTTTCATATAAATATAAGATTTGATTACTTTTATTTTGTTTTATTTAAAATGTGGTCTCTAAATGTTAACATCTATTAAATATTTAACAGTTTACTGACGTGACGCGATAAATATATAAAATTTTATATCATTTTCACATAAATAATACATAAATTAATTTTTATCATTTTCACGCAAATAATACATAGATTAAGTTTTGGTCACTCACCAAAAGAGAAAAAAGGACTAACCATTTATTTTAAATTTTATTTCTGAATGATGCATGTCAATTAAAAATCATGCGGACTAGGGTTTATATTATTCTTCTTGTTATTATTTTTCCTACTTGTACTAATTTGTTTTCTTTCATTTTTTCTTGGTTTCTATTTTTATTATTTGCATTGCATCATCATCATGAAGATTGAGGTGTTGGGTTTCGGATCAAAAATCAAATTGGAAGGCTTGAGTGATCATTTTGGAGTTGCCATATTATGCTCTTGTCAGTCTTAAGAGAAACAACATTGCTGATCTGCGGGAAATTTGACAGAAAGTGTAGCCGAGTATGAGACACAAGTTCTACCAATGTTACGGGGACATTGAGGTAGACGACGAGTTGTTAAGAGCCCTGATTCAGTTTTGAAAACTGAGATACCACTGCTTCACATGCAATCGAGAGGATATAGTGTCTACCATTGAGTACGCTGCCCTATCACGTATCGAGGGAGTCCAGGAGGATCGAGTTTACTAGAAATCTGTTAAACCTCAACCGTTTCGTACCAAGCTGGCCAAGGTAGCTCGGGTGCGCGAAGAGTGGGTAGCATCCCATACATAGGCAGAAGGGTAAAGGAGAAAGAATTGGGTGGCTCAACATTAAGGAGGTGCTTCAAAAGCACCCAGACGAAAGAGTTCGGTTGGATCTCGTAGCTTTGGGGATATATGGCCTGGTAATTTCCCCGAAGGCCCTAGGGTACATAGAGGCTATAGTTGTTGATCTATTTGAGCAGTAGCTGAGGAAGATTAACCCCGCTCCTTCCATTCTAGCCGAGAATTTCCGATCCTTGGATGTTTGCCGTAAGTTGGGAGGTGTCCGTTTTCGAAAATAATTAAGAGTTTACATGACCATAAAATATTTACAAAACAAAGTAATAGATTAAATACTAATAAAGGCTGGGATGGACCAAGGGGGACGGGTGGGGTAATCAACCCTGAAAATTTGAAATTATCATATATTTTAAATTTTTTTTATGTATTTTCTATTGAAAATATGTTTCTGCCCCTGGAATTTTAAAAGTTCAAGTTCGTTCCTCCTAACATAAAATTATGATCATGTGTTCGTCCCTAAATAAAGGTCTTACAAATATAAATGTTCCCCACAAGATACATAGTGTCCTCTGTATAGTTGATGCTAAATCTCTTTTAGTGATACTCTGTATACTTGTGCATAGAAAACAAACTGTACGACGAGTTTCACAAAGTTTAGTGGTAGACGTCTACTCTAATCTATTTCATGAAAGTGAAAATTCACATATTGAACATACCACAAAAACTGAAGTCTTACAAATCATCACAAATAATTATAAAGTTCATGCTCATCATAAATCATGAAGAGATTTCATGCTATGTAGTTCAATAAACAACCAACAATGTCCTCGTTCTTATAATCTGGTATTCACAAATCTCAATCCATGTATTAATCCATAGTCATTTATCAATTTCATAATTTTTGTATTCATTATACTGTTTACATTATTGGCCAAGTATGAACATGGGTATCTACAACCAAGTACACGGATGTCTAATTGACTACCATGATAGTAAAATGCACATTCTTCACATAACAATGTAATAATCCAACAGATTACCATGATTTAAGGGTGCTCCTACACTATTCCAAATATACTTCGATACAATCTAACAATGTCAATCTATCCAACCACCATGAGAGCTTCGGGATGCCCATATGCTACCCTCACGATACATAAACTGAACCTCTACGCCCTATGGAATGTCAACTATTCTCAAAAATAGATCCGTAAGGTTACACGAGCATTTTAATGAATCTAATGTCTTTCATCCAAAACATCCGGTTTTAATCACAAAAGCATATTAACTTAGACAAGTTATTTATCGTATTCAACTTCATTGGAAAAAATCAATGAAATTACATTAGAAACAAAAATAAAGAAAACAATGATCTGAGAGATTAAGGCTAGATTTCATACCAGGTTTTGGAAACTTTTACACGTCAGTCATAGCGTACACAACAACTGATGCTTGAAGATCACGGTCCACCTTGAAGTGAGCATGGAAAAACCTTCTAACCTCTCTAAAAGAATGCAAAACTAGAAAATCTTTCAAGTGCTTTTCCTCTGAATCAAACAGTACAATGTGACTGGGGGAAGACCAATGTTTTGCGAAATCTACGGTGAAACTAACAGGATCCGCCATGAAACGGTCCGATTCGGCAGGAATTCCTTTACTTGGCGTGCAATCCAGAAAACGCATTGGCAGGTTGTAATGCAGAGTGGAATAATAGGGTGTGGCATGGCAAGGCATTAGGAAAAGGATACTTTTCACCTTATCATTTGCAGCTTCTTTAGATAGATAGTTCATCGCATCCTCGGTTCCTCTCTGATGAACCAAACTCATATATAGGGCCATTGGAATATTGCTTGCAAGCAAGAAGAAGATGGCAAGATGCTTTCTAGAAGACCATTTATTGCAAATGCATGAAGATATTTTCCTTTCAACACTTGGAGAACTACGATCTTCGAGTGAAGCTAGTGAGTATCCGGCAAATATCAAACTTATGGGAAGCACAGGGAGGACAAACCTGAATTCTTTGTGACCAAGAATGCTGTAAAGTCCTAAATCCCATAGAATAAGCCCAGAAAGCTTCCAATATTTAGACTTGATAATGCCATCAACACAAAATGGTAGAAAACTGAATAGCATCACTGTAAATCCCTGAGTGAAGTACCAGTGCCACGGGTGAGTTCCGTAATAATCTCCGCCGGAGGAAAGAAAATTGAACTCGAGAAAATTAAGTGGTACTAAAACCCAGGAGCCATACATTAAACGATCCAACAAACACATGATTCCTAGAGCCACACTCCCAATAGGAATCAACTCCAGAAATATAAATCTCAGCCGTTCGTGAGTCAAGTACAGCTCAAGTAGGCCAACATACACCCAAGTAATAGCACTTGTTGGTCTAATGGCACAAGCTAATGCAGCTAGGATCACACCCCATTTTCTTGAACCTGAAGGAACTTTATTCCAAGATCTTCTCATTGACGGCCAATAGTAAAGGCCTACAAGAGTGAGAACCGTCTCCAAACTATTTGAAAACGTACGATTGAAGCAGAAAAACATGAACCAGTTTGCCAATTGAGAAAATAGAGCCCATTTTGCAACAGTATCACCAAACAGGACAAGCGAAAGTTTATACAAGTACAAATCACCAGCTGCAGAAAATATGGATTGCAGCAGTCGCGGGGCATTAATCATGACCCATGGTGTATCAAGACCCAATAATGCGACGAGTTTGTAAAAGAGGGCGAACATCATTGGATGCAAGTAGCTTCGAATTCCCTCCTCCCACTCCCATGTCAAATGACCATACCCAAAGGCGATGCGATGCGCAACTTCAAGGGCTTGCCAGTGTTCATCTGGATTGAAGTAAGTTTGGATCAACAACGCGTTCAGCATTCGAAATCCCAAACAAATTGTGAATACATCCTTTGAAGAATATGGTGACTTCTTTTGTGATTTTTCTTCTACTTCAGACAGATTTGGATGTTTAAGTGAAGAACCATTCTTTCTCTGTCTCATTCTTTTATAGTATGATGGCAATTGGTTTCCTTTACTACCTGCTGCAAGGCAAGTTTTAGCAACTTTTGTCTTTGCACAAAGTAATATTCCTAGAAGCCAACCAGCAGAAAATTTGGAAAAAAAATAATACTGAAGGAAGCAATCAATATCGTGCAGAAAGGACTAGAAACTTCAAACAGCTATGTTGTTCCAACTCATTTGTTTTACTTGATGTACCATGTTCAACAACCGTTTGACATATTTGGATATCGTTAAGGGGATAAGATCCTCCAAAAACTCCCCAAATATAAAGGACAGCTAAGAAATATAAAGCCTAGGCGACGCACAAGTAAGCAATAACATTTATAATATGATGCCTTAGTGGTATTATCTATATTGAGTAACTGATGATGAGTATACAAACCTGATGTACCCCTTCCTAAGCGATGCACAGGACAGGATGTGATTCTTGACTTTTTAGGTGAAGGTTCTACTTCTTTATGCACCAACAAAGCTGTGTCAAAACAGTCTGTTACTGGAAAAGGCCGCCAGGTAAAACTTGAAGACCGGATGGCTTGTTTAAAGCAATCTAAACACAAACATTCTGATTTTTGTCAAAATCAAAATCCAGTTCCAAAACTGGTACCCAAATTTGGGACAAATAATTAAGAATAAGGAAATTTAACCAAACCCCAGAGTACTTTTATGTAGAAGGAAAGGAAACAAATTCAGGCTAGAGAATTTAAGATCATAAAACAATAAAAAAATAAAGTCATCCATGATACTAAAATGTAAAATCCAAACTATTCGGCCAACAAGTGCAGAACTCAACATAGGGGGAAAAGGATAACTTAAATAGAAAATTTCTTCAACATATCCTCGTAATATTTTATATATTACTCAGATTCTGGTATGGATGTGCAACATGGGTAAGTCCAAGTTTTTCTCTGTTTCTCCATGTATTTGAAGGGTCATTATCTTCAAATTCAAGTCAAAACATGTGTTGGACACGAGTAGTTCAAGAAAAATAAAAAGTATGAGCAATATAGAACCTAGATTACAATTGTGTCACTTGAATCTTATAAACAAAAAGATTATGTCCCGTCTGAGCATCATAGATTTGTCATGGTAAAAAAGAGAAGCAATAAAAGGTTCTGCGATCATAAACAAAAAGATATGTAAACAAATTGATGACTTCAACTCTTGTGTTTTCTTACTTCCTATTTTATCCGAACTTTTCATTTCTCTATAACAGCATGTAGGACAGACGTTCAATATAACTACAAGGTACAAAATCGCCCAAACTTATACAAAAACTAATAAAAAGTTAAAATATACCCGTCTTCTATACATACTTGAAACTACCACTTCAGAGCTGATAATCTGAAGTTGTCATAGCAATTTAAACATCCTGAGATTTCGGTAATGATTAATTAAATGGAAATTAAAGTCCAAATCTTCCCCTACATGTGTTATTAGATAATAAGAGTAGAACTAAATCATGATTTACCATTGATAAAAGAAAATACTTGAGAATTCAGATTTAACTCTAATTTCCTCAAAAATAATTAAAATAGTTAATTTACCAAGTCGTTAATTTACCAAGTCATCCTCCTCGTACAAAATTTCAAGCAAATGAGGAACATCAGGTTCTTTCCATGGAAGCTTATGGTAAACTAAAACTGGATCACCACTGCCAAAAGAGGGGGGGGGGGGAAACAATTAACAGGGAAACAATTAACCTTGTAAAGGAGCTGAATGTTTGTACTTCCTTGAGTAAAATTCTACAAAAGTAAGCCCTATAAACACATATATATATATATATAAAAGGAGGAAAATGGAAATATTCAGTGAACAATTATCACATAAACTTGAAGGAAAAATAAAAGGAGAATAATAAATTAAGTTTTGGAATGACCGGAATCAGAATCGGAATCGGAATCGGAATGCGGAACGACGTCGTTGTAGAATATGCCGTCGTTGAGTTCAGGTCAAGGTAACCCGAAAACCATAGACAGTTCGCGAATCGTTTAACATTCCCCCCCCCCCCCCTTCTTTTGAGGCTTCAATGGCTGAGTTTACTTCCTGGACCCGTAACCTGAATAGATTAGGTAGGCTTAATATACCCATTGCCCCCTGAACTTCACAACGTTTCTAAAACTGGTACTTGGAAATCTATAAGTTCAAAAAAGAAAGTAATTCAGCTTTTAACGTAATTTGAACATTATTCACTTCATACAACACGTATTCGACGATCCATTAAGGATGTAGTTTTTACGTAAGAAATTAAAATATTCTTAAGCTTAAATAAAATTAAATACGATGATAACGTTTATATCATCATCTCTAATAATAGGATGATCATTTTATGTTTGATCAGATTTAACATGATTAAATTAAAAAAAATCTTTTATTTTCATGTCAAGAAATTTTATGTATATTTCTCGTTGTCGCTTACAACTATCAGCATTGTTGAGTTTTATTCAAAATTTTAATAGGAATCAACATTCAAAATCACGAATTAGATTAATCAACGGGGTTACTTACTATTTTGCTTAAACCACGAAACTAGAATTTATAATAATTTCAATTAATAAATTAAAATCAAAACATAATTTAATAATGTTGTTACTTTTAAATTATTCATGTTATAAACGGTAAATTGAATAAATTTTATTGAATGACATTACTGAAATCCTAAAACAGAATTAATGACACTTTTTTTATTCACAAAAAATTAAAATTTTATTTCAGTATTATATTTTAATCTCAAAGAGTTTTAGTCAAAAACTAAATATCAACAATTGAATAATTTCTGTTAAACGAATTAAATTTAGTAAAAATAAAACCCGAAACAGAAATAAATCTATTTATAATGATAGAAAATGGATTGAAGGGCTATGATCTTTTGGTGAAAGTATCCAACCTTTTCATGAAGAGAATTATTGAATAATTATAATTGAATAGACCTAACTTTAAATTAAAAATGAATTTTATTCACCAAGTGACGTAACTTATTATTAAAGAATCATAAATAGTATCAATTCATTCAATTATTTTTTCAACCGTTTATAAAATAAATATTAAATTTTGGCTTACATTAGTTTATTAAATTATATAAACGAACGTTATGCGAACGACTTACAAATTATTGACCGAACACTTTGTTCATTTACATCTCTAGTGACAACCGCACATATATTTTATGTTCTTTTAGCACGAGCTTTGTTTGTGTGCCTTCCCGTCACCAATGCGTGCTTGAATGTGTATTCCATGTATATCTATCTGCAGTTGCTGAACTCTGAATCATGCTGGACAGCTGCCATGGTCCTTGAACTGTCTCACAACAAAAGAAAAGCGAAGATAGTATATTTGCTGCCATGGTCAAGTCAAGGTATGTTTGGTTGTTGCTATGGTCGTAGAACTGCCCGACTGCAAAAGCAAGATTATAGTGGAAAGAATATGAATGAACTAGAATAAATTGAATTCGTTCTTGGTTAGGGGTGAGCATTCGATCAAGTCGCTTTGAGTAAACAAATTTTGAGTTATTCGAGTTAACGAGCCATTTTATGACTCGAATTTAACTTGAAATTTTTCGAGTTGAGTCGAGTTTATGAAATTCGATTCAAATTATTTTAATTTCCATACAAATTTAATTGTAATTATTTATAATATTATAGTGCGTATTGATTCTAATTTTTAAACTTTCTCTAGTCATATAATATGTATATTACGAACAAATTAGAGTTTTAAGGGTTGAAGTCTTTAAAGAGGGACCAGATGCATGTCACTATGAAGGTTGTCTTGTATGGCAAAAATAGTTTAACCTGTAACATTACTATTATATATGTCACCTCTAGTAACGACTATTAATGTGAGTAGATGCATGCCACTATGAAGGTTGTCTTGTATGGAAAAAATAGTGTCCGATCAGTCGATTAATGTGCAACATCATGTCATCTTCAATAACGACGGTTAATGTCGAGTGACCAATTTATTATAAATCTATAACGTTAGTGATCAAATCATTAGTTTTAAAATATTATTGAGGAAAAATAAAATCTTGCTCAAACATGAGTGGTTACTTATGTAGTTTACCTTTTTTAATAGCTCGGAACAATTACAAAGTGCACAATGTTCATAATTTTCTTAGTCCACTGATAACGTACACACTCTAAAAATACAACCGTTTAAACCCGAGTCTTCTAGTTAATATTTGTTCTGAAATCTCTTAACCTATTGTCATTCTCTTTACATTTTGAAAGCATTAATTTGCTATTTCTAGTTCAAAATAAGAATTTGGTTAGTCTAAAATCAACCAAGAGTGCATTAGTGGTGCAAAAGAAATGAATGAGCAACGGCCTCTTAGGCATAAAAATAGAAAGATTGGACCTGAAAATAAGCTCAAACATTTGACCCCAACATCTCCACAGTTAAGATGAGAGACCAAATGTGCTGTTGCAAGCCTCCATGCCTTTGCTTTGGTTGCGTTTCAATACCATTTACATTCGTAGATATAGATTTACTGAAAATTGTTCCCAAAATACCTCAAGTGGGCAGGGAGATGACAGGGAGAAAGGAAAAATCCATTGAGAAAAGGGAAAAGAGACTCCAAGAGATTTCCCTTCTCAGAACCATTCCTTATTCTGATCATCAAAGGTGCTTTTCTTTCCTTTTTCTTTGGGTCTTTGGGATTTCATATTCTATCTAAAATGGTTTATTTAACGTTGTAAGGTGATTATAAGATAATATATGTTCAGGGTTTTCTTAATCTATTTTTTTGACCTATTGATAACATACACACTATACAATACATATATAACTGCTCGAACTCAAGAATTTTAAGGTGAATAACATAGTTATTTGCGAAGATTTACATGTTTTTAACCTAGTGGTAATATAGGTGGTGGTCAGCGGAAACAATTGCAGTAGTAACGGGTGCGAATAGAGGAATAGGATTTGAGATTGCAAGACAACTAGCGGGCCATGGATTGACAGTAATACTAACATCAAGGGACACCGGCGTTGGCATCGAAGCAGCCAAGGTCTTGCAAGAAGGAGGTTTCAATGTGGATGTGCATCAGCTCGACATCTTGCACGATGAATCTGTTTCTGAATTCACAAAGTGGATAAAAGAAAAATACGGTGGCGTTGATATTCTGGTATAATACCCAAACTCTTTCCATCATTTTGGGTTCATTTCTTTGTGGTTTAAATGTGTACTTTATTTCTTTTTCTCTTTTGCAGATAAATAACGCAGGTGTTAACTACAATCTTGGGTCTGGAAATTCAATGGAGTTTTCGAAGACGATGATCGAGACCAATTATTATGGCACGAAAAATATGGTTAAAGCAATGATTCCATTGATGAGACCTTCGGCTGCTGGTGCTCGTATCGTTAACGTTAGCTCACGGCTAGGTAAACTGAATGGCCGCCGCAGTGTAAGTAAATCATCTCCTTTTTTTATTCGTACAGAAAAATGTTTTATTTATTATAAAATATGGTTACAGAAAAATGTAAAACGATATTCAAAATTGAATAATCATCTCTATTTGTCACGCAAACCAAATTTACATATATAATTTGTCTTTGATAGAGGATTGAAGATGAAGCTTTGAGGGCAAAGCTGAGCAATTTAGAGACTCTATCTGAGGAACTAATTGACAACATGGTGTCCACATTTCTTCAACAAGTTGAAGATAATACATGGCAATCGGGTGGATGGCCTCAGAAATTTACAGACTACGCCGTATCTAAGCTTGCTGTTAACCTTTACAGCGTGCTACTGGCGAACCAACTGGCGGAACGACCCGAAGGCCGAAAGATATACATAAACTGTTATTGTCCTGGATGGGTGAGAACTGCCATGACAGGTTGGTCCGGCAATGTCTCGGCTGAGCATGCGGCGGACACGGGTGTCTGGCTTGCTTTGCTTCCCAACAAGGAGGTTACCGGCAAACTGTTTGCCGAGAGACGTGAATTGAAATTGTGAGACAATGGAAAGGTTACATAATCGGTAGGGTTTAGAAGCCTCTTTTTCATTCTTAAAGATGATTTGTTGACTTAAAACAACACTTTGAAAGAAATTTGTTGAAGTTGTTTGTGAAAGCTAAACTATCTACACAAAGTTGTTATTTGTTGAAAATGGATACCCAAAATATGATTTTGCTATATGTATATTAATATATACAACCTTCAAAGTACTATTATGACATGGACCAACCAAATCACTAAGGAATTGTTGTTATCACCTTATGTCTAAGTTAGAATATGACCTCTATAAGAGTATACGAGAGTTCATTGTCAAATGATTAAGAATCTTTCAAATGCTTTCTCAAAATTAAGTACATATTTAATCCGATTATAGTTTTTATAGATAATAATATTAGTACATATTTAATTATTAATACTTAATAATTTTATATATTAAGTTAAACTAATAAAATTTAAAAAAACATTAATTCCTAACATTGAAATCCCTAAAACTAATCATTTGCATTTTTTTTTGGGCACCCGGTTACCCGAGTACACAATTAAATTTGTG